GTGCGATGTAAATCTAGTGGATTGTCCGTTTTGTCGTGAGGAGAAGAGGAAGAAGTAGGAGTACCGGTTCCACATTCATGTTCGTTTGTTTTGTAACCAATGTAGCTGGTGGGAGGTAGGTAGTCGAAGGGTAGTTTAGCGAGAAATGTATGTTTAAGAATGAGAGGTGGGGTCGAGTGAGTTGAAAAGATAGGTTTTGCACTTGAGAAGTGGTCAAGAGGTTTAGCCAAGGAGCTTTCGAGACCAGAGACAGTTATCGGTGGAAAGAAAGATATGTGATTCCCGCATTGGGTCGGAGAACATAGGGGATGGTCTCAAAATAGTGGGATTTTCGCCCTCAACATTTAGAGACCCCATAGCAGCACTGTCAAGGGGGAGGGAGATAAAAAAGGATGAGGTCGTGTATATGTCGAATTAGGGGAGATCAAAGAGTTGTATAGGGTGGCTTGACTTTGATGGTATCTAGAATCACTAGGTGGGTGCCCAAGTAGACCAACGTTACAGCTTCCTTGTGGGCGGTATGCAATTTTAGTCCTCTTATGGGTAGTTGAGAAGGTCGCATATTTCAAGCAAGGAATGGGGGATTACCCGACATTGCTGCCAGGGGAGGTGTTTGTGTTAAGCACGGTTGTGTACTGGATCACAGAGCTTGTAAGGTTCGCATTATAAGGCTTACTGGTATTATGTGTGGGCGTGGTTTTAGTCGGGTGTAGCAACACGTTGGGATGAATTGGTGCCGCCAGTCCACCATGTTTGTTGAAGGGCATTCTACTTCTATGGGTAGGTGCATGTTATGGGTCAAGGGCGCTGGAGCACTTATGGGTTTTCACAGGGGGTTTAGTGTTATGTCGTACTGCGGTGATCGAGCGGCTACAGCTCTTATAGCAATTTCTGGGAGGAATATATTTAGGCTATTTTGAGATTTTATTGGAGCCACTAGGGTAATGCTGGGGCACTATAGAAACATAATTGGATTGATATTTGGGAGTAGTTGGATGTTTGGGTTTAAAATGAGCGACTGCATCTGCTTTATGTGCAGTCTTGTTAACCTAGTGTATCAATATATTTTGTGTAATCTCCTCTTGTTTGGGAACCACCACAATGATATACCAAAACAAATTAATGGCAAAGAAACCTAGATGTCTGTCCGTTAGTAAAAACAAAGGTAATAAAATACCGTTAGCAATACAAAAGGTATATTAAACAAACAGACGCTAACAGTTACTATAGAATGAATGTCACTTGTTAACTGCCACGTGAGAACAACGACCACAAACTGAGTTCACTTGATTGACAGGTGTTCCTCTACAAGTGACTGCACCAATGACGTAATGAGGAAGACGGAGTCCAATAGTATTATACAATAGTAACCGCGCCAAAAGTCCAACGTTGAGTCGGAAGGCCTATAATGATGTTATAATACTATTATAGTCTTCAATCAAAACGGTGGCCAATAAAACAGAAGAAGAAACGGCGTAGATAGTGTTCTATATTTTAAACAACGCGGTAGTAGAATCGTATATCATTCATCGAAACAAAAATTATCGTCTTTTTAACAAGTGATATAGCAAAACAACAGATATTGAATAAAAATGTGGTTACAAATAAGGTGTGACAAATTAGAGAAAAAATGTGGTTTTTATTTTTGTTGTTACCAAAAATCATTGAATATATGTCACCATACTTCTTCAGTGTTTTTTTATGATTTCGAGATCGGAATTTTCCGGAACAATGATTGGATATTTGTACGCTAATAAGTTTTGAATAGTCTGGGTGGGGCTAAGTTCTATTTGACTGCTCTTAGAACTGTCACTGGCTAAATTATTAGATTTTACATCAAAATTATCAGGGTCGATGTGATTGCATACAGACTTGTTGCAAGTGTCCATTGGGTGGTCACTTTGCGCATACTTAGTTGAGGAATAAAGTATGTGTCTGAGTGTTTAGTAAAGATCTAAATCATTGGGTTGGCTATTGTAGACAGGCTTATATGCACTCTATGGGACGCCACACAGGATGGCTGGCTATGGATTTGTTGAGTGTTTGGGGTTAGCCGCACTTTCTGAAAGCTGCTCAGAACATGTGACGCTTTTGAGTGGACTGCCAAGTGATGTCGACACAAACGGTTTGTGGCCGCTCTTATTTATATCTGTAAGCGAGATTCAAGGTAATGACGTGTCATGTCCAAGTACATAGTGCACGTCTAGTGTAGCTGTGGGAAGATCGGAGTACGATACAGACTGATCGGTGTGTTTATAAAGCTTTACATAATTCACTCTAGTGACGGAAGTTGACCTTTTGCAGGCGCTATAGACATCAAGAGAGATTGTATGTGTTTTAAATGGCCTGGACATAATTTGAAGTAGTCTAAATATAAGGTTTGTATTAAGTGAACCGCCAGTTATAACTTATTAGATGTATAAAGTTCTATGGTAGGATCAGATCCAATATTTGTCAAGAGCCAATATATTAACTTTAGTGAACGAAAAGAAATGATCAGCGTGAGAACTTACGGACTTAGTGTATGACGTTGAGTGCCAAGATGAGGTGTCAAATTATTAGAAATCTTATCAGAAATGAAGTATTTTTTGCCAATAAATCTTGTTAAATTGAAGAGAAAAACTATCAGGAAAACAAATTAAAACCACGTGGAAACGTTGAAACCTTCTTAACGTTTAAGGACAGTTTTATGAACTTCTGCTCTTGAATATCGTAGTCTGCATCATTAGAGTCCGTGTTTTCTGGGATACCTTGCACAATAATATTTCTTCCCTTAAAGAACGTCTCACGTGGTTCTTTTTGGATGTTCCTGATGAAATTGAGCTCAGAATGTGGTACAACGTGCAACATCCTCATATCTCCTTATTTTGGCTAGTGACTGGCTAGCAGGGCATTTTCCACGTCAACAGTGTTGATGAACGATACTTGAAAGAGTCTCGGATAATTTTAGTGTTTGGTGTCTTTTACCCGGGTGAGCTATGTAACGGTCAGTGGCCAAATTATGGTAAGTTAGGGCTTCCTATCCAACTACTCCCAGAGTATCCGGTTGTTTGTGTTCTGTGGATTGACAGAAAAGTCAGAGCTGTTTTCAAGGTTCATGATTATGGGAGAATCATCACGAACTATGACCATTTTCCTAGGTTTTCGAGCATGGTGAGGTTGAGCTCCTTTTCGTTTGCAGTCGGATGGCGGTCCGGATTCTCGTAGTTTTCGTCGACTGGTTGGTTAATTCCAGGAGCAGATTGCACGACCGATTCATCAGCTGATTTTCTTACAAGACTTATGTTGTACAGCATTTGTGACGGTGACAATCGATCCTTTTTAACTCTGTTGACAGTGTCCAGTTGTCAACAGAATTTTTGGGGACCACAATTGCACTTAAGGAGACTGTGCTTGAGGACACAAATCTGAGAGTGCATAACACTGTCGATTTTATGGCGGTGATCAGTTTTATCATAACTTCGCTGGTGTTGATGCGTATCCAGTCGATACCGATGTTGACAAAGACCCACCACTTTACTTTGCTGCGAGCCTTTGTTTATTTGTCCGTTTCATGACTGACTTGTTACAGGGTTGCCGATATTTTTTTCTCAGAATTGTCAAGAGAGTGATGTTGCTTAGCAAATCCACAGAACTTATGTTGCATATGCCGCGTACTTACTTGCGATCTGACTTACCAAGTCTGTTGTAAGCAGTTACTGGAAGGTCTGTGCACCCTCTGTGAAACCAACCTTTGCATTTGTCACACTGCATACCATAGTTGACAGCAAAAAGGCATTCAGGTCGCTTATAATTGTTCTCAGTGACCATAGTGAAATACAGGTTGTTAACGAGACTGGAATAAAATTTCATTATCGCATAAAGAAGTAATGTATTCAAAACGGATTGGACAGATCAAAAGAAGTACTATAAACACTTGAAATTTACTGAAACCAAAATTAGCATTTTAACATAAAAATCCGTTTAAACCGAGTAGTGCGTTGAGTCAAGACTACAGTTAACTAATAATTCAAATAAATTTTATTAGAAAAGTAATCTAGCGAACGTTAAGCTCCGTATAGATTCTTTGTATCAAAAATGGTATTTTCGTTGTGTAAGAACACAGAAAACGTCTGAGAAACACAAGTCACGTTATGATAATATCTCTTGTTCGAAAAGCTTGCTTTGGTAGTCCATAGTCTTTGCCTATCTCACTTACTAGTAAATTAGTGTTTTTAGAAATGTTTCTCAAAATAAGATTCAACATAATGTTTCGAGCAATGCACAGTAACTAACCGAACATGCAAATATGGAGAAAATCCTTTTACGTCTTTTTTTCTTAAGACTAGCCCACATAGATATCCAAAATTACAGGCGCGTTAGAAAAGCATGAAAGAGTTGTGCCGAAAGGCAAGCAGGCAAGCGAGTCAGCAAATATGAGTACGGGTAAGCGAGAGCAATGAACATGAATAACATGGACATATATATACATAGTGAAATGAATGAATCATCGAATCAATTAAGCGGTTAGTAGTAAGGCTAGCAGCGAGAATAGATGCTTGAGTCATCTATTACCGAGATGGTTCTATGAGACTAATTACTCACTAACATACATTTTTGTGACTATATTGTTATCCCGCACTGGATATTTCCTACACACTCACTAGCTACTCGCCCACCGAACATTCTGGAACCTACTTAATAAATTGACCGTCTAGTGACACGTGCATGTTCATTTAATCCCTAGCCTAAGCAATAGAGTGAACCTCATGAACGGTGACAATAGCATGGTCGCAACTACTTAAAAGTTGATAGTGGTTAGCAACATTATCATAGAAATAAGTTTGGATTTTATGTTTTATGACTTTCTTCGTTCTAATTTATTTTGTCTTCCAACACTACGCTTCATATGTGACAACTTCCAGACACCATACCACTTAAGAATTTGTATCATTAGATCCACCCAAGTAGCAACCTACTATTATGGTGAAACTAATTAATTGTTAAGAAAACAATATTATACAGTTTCTCTCCCATCAAAAAGTGATTTTCTTTTCGAATGTATCAATTGATGATCTTAACACATTGAAAATCGGAATCGAAATTTAAAAAAAAATAGATAAGCTGATGGGGAAAAGTTTGAAGCAGTATGTCTATATGTATGCATACTGATTATCACGTAAATTGTTTTACAAAATAAGATATTAAAATGTTATTACTCAAAGTATAAATAAAATCAATTCTGTACGATGAATAAAAGATATAAAAAGAAATTCCGAAAGCTTTGTAAATGATTAGAAAACAAAGGTCAAGAATTGATAAACAAAAATTGGAACAATAACTTTTAGCAGGGAATCTTATTTCTTTCCGTAAACTTTGACGGAAGTATGTATGCTGAACAATAGTAAATTATTTGATAATAATGGTCATAATCAACGAATCATTATATAAATATCTTAAAAAATAACCTGTAAAACAAGTGAATTTCTACATAAGAATATATCCTATTGCAACAATGAAGCTAACAGTTCAATCCGTTCGTGAACTCGACGTAAATAAGTTTGAGTTTCAACAATCATTAGTAAAAGTTCTTTACTATCAGTAGAATCAAGACTAATATCAGTTGATAATGGAGGATTTAATCGAAAAAATGGTACTGCAAGTGAACCACACCATGCACTAGCACGATCAACAACTCGACCTAAAATGTTAAAAATTACAAGATAAATTTTTCATTTAAAATGTTTATATAATAAACAATATGGAAATACAAATGAATTATTATATTTGTAACATCCCAATGAGTAGAAAAATTAAATTTTCTGAAATACACTTAAACTAAGCAAATTGATGTATTGAACTAGATGGAGAGAACTACTAGTTAGTTTAAAGTCAGATATGTGAAGATACTACAACTACGCCCAATTGGCTTACAAAATAAACCTTGTTGAAAACATTTATTGGAAGAAATCAAAGGACGTTGATTCAAACAAACACCAAACGCATGTAAATATGTTTATAATGACCATAAAAATAAAATGAAAAATCCACATACTAAAAGAATAAAAGATCAATAGGAAAGTAGTATTGCTAGTCTTGGTAAGAATGAAGGATCTCTGCAGTGAGGAAAACTTCAGTGTGCAAACAAATAGAAACTGAAATTTAAAAATGTAAACATGACAAGTAAGTGGTTTTTCAGGGCTGTAACATCCTGAACACAAGCAGATAAAGTAAAGTAAAATATTACAGATTACTTAGATAAATTCAAGTTATCCAATGTCTTATTATTTAAGAAATAACTTTAAAATTCACAAGAAAGTACATGTGGATAGAAAAAACACATAATAAGATGTTCACAAGATAGAAGATTCTGATGTTGTTGTGCTGGGTCTATATTACAGACCCATTCAGATTAACTTCGTACTCTTTATTGCCGTTAATACGTTACGGACTACATTTGATTGAAGTGTAATAAAAATGATTTATATATATTATAAGCATGTAAAGATAAGGTCACGTAATAGTGTGTATCAGTCCCTCACATGAATTCCCCATACGATTCAAGTCTAGATGGATCCTAAAAGATGGAATGAATTTACGTAACAATAAGTGCTTTTAAAGTGCATATCCTCACCGTTTCCAACTACTGATTTTTAGGATAATCATGATCCATCATCCATATGAGGTTGCAAAGATTGTTGAGTTTCATTGAAATCATGAGCCGATCACAGACAACAGTTGAAAACATGGAAACAATGGACGTTTCGTGATTTCATTGAAACTCAACAATCTTCAAAACATCATAATAGCAATTATCATGTGCTCCAGAGGAAATTTCCGGAGTTCTAGTGAGAAAACGCGATCAGTGGAGCTAAATCGTGTCATTTTAGGATTAGACCTGAGATATTTAAGCTTTCCAACACCATAACTACTATTGATTTATCAGCTTAGAAACCAATAACCCAAAGTTTCAACCCTGAATAAAATTGGATATAAAGGCACCAAGTGTTGGAGACTGAAAATATTGACGATGAAATTTCTGTCGTGACACCTGAATGTATCGACTTCGGTAGTAAAAGACGGGCTATGCACTACTTTAAATCAGTCAGCCACAAGGAGAAATGGTGAATCCTTATTACTTTAAAATGATTCCGATACTTCCATTATTATTATTACCATTTATTATTTGAACACACAAGTCACTTGATTTGTGTGTGGGCTGTGATAATGCCAGGGTGCTCAAACCGAAGCAGGTTGTTTTTTTAGAGGGTCACACCCGGAGCCTTCGACCTAAATGTCTGATCCACAAGGCAGTGGAGCAAAGCAAGGAGACGCAGTTCCATGGTAGCCGGTGGCGAATAATTGGTTCATACGCCATTTGTTCTCTGGATCCTGGAGCTCATGTGCACCATTAGCATGGAATTAGGGTTTTCCAACTCGTCTAGGTGGATCCTCCATATTCACCGACCTCGTTAAAGCGCTGGACATTCGCTCTTCGTCCTCTCAATTAGATAAACAACAATAATTCCGCGAGAAGGCAGTGAGTAGGACTTCCCTGAAAGTGGTTGTATACACGTGGCTATGTGAGAGCTAAATATCCCCATCCTCGGCCGTACTAGGGCATTTGGTGGCCCGATGCTTTCAAAGCAAATTTATTCAGTATAACCACGCAAATAATAATAATAATAAACTAAACTCGACAAATATTTAGTCTTAAACGGATTTTAAAAGTTAATAAGTAACAAAATTCTTGGATGAATAGGTTTCTCATAAAGTCACAAATGATTTGAAAATTCTGAATCAGTACACAAAAGATCATGCATATGAGCTCTTGAACATTTCGGGGCGTAAGATTTATTTCTTGCAAACTAGTCAAAGAAATAATACGACAATAATCGTACTTTTCAGTAGCTCTTTTTGTTATCATGAAAAAGACAGTAATTAACAGGTATTATTATTAATAATAAACATTTATAGTTTACGGTCAAAATGAAATTTATTTGACTCTTCTTCAGCTTCCATATTTTACCATACAGCTAAATGATTTCATCAACAACCAGTTAGGAATTGTCACAAAACTACTGTCTGGTAAATTGCTATTCGAGTAAGTGGTAGAGTGGACGAGTATAGCCCAGTGGTATATACACATATAGCCCTATCCTGTTGTGAAGTAGGTGTAACAGATTTAGAACGTGTGGTTTATTGATTAAACCCTCGGGAGCTTAAACAAACGAATTACACATCTAAAACTACCACACGCTAATTTTCTTTGCCTACCCTTTTGTGGATGATTTGTTTGTGTCGCTTTTTATTTTGATGCACCATTATTTACAATTAATTAACTGTGTCAGAGTTACTAGTTTCACATGAAATTTGATTTTTTTTTCAAGCTATTGAACAACTCACCATCTGACATGGTTGCAATTTCAACCAGAATACGACCAAGAAATCCGAAACCACGTACAGATCGATATGTTTCCATAATATTTTGTGGACGAAATACATCCACTGTCTCTACAGGCATTACAGGCAACCGTCCAGTCCCAAGAGAAACAACTACTGCTATAGGAGTTATAGGTTTATTCTAAAATGTTAAAAGAATGAGTCTTACTTTAGAATATATGATAATTACTGAACGTTTTGAGTAGTAAAAGATCCACACTTTTATTTTTAGCAGTAACAGTGTGGATTATATGTTGTAATTGCTAAACTGTTTAAGCTGAACAAACTTCTTAGTTAGTTCATACAGTCATATCCTTTGAATAGTCTGCGAAATAAGATCTTAGACTGTGAAGCCGTCCGGAAAATGTTCAAACCTCATGAGGAGTTTCAGCCCCTTGAGACTGCAGTCATGGCTTGTTGAGAGGTTTCTTCCCATTTGGAACTCAGTACGTTTGGGGAGCCAATTTTTAAGTCGATTTATTACTATGGTTCATACAGAGTCTTGTTAATTCACCTACCCTAACTTACCACAGTAACCCTATCCAACTCTTCGTCTCTTAACACTCACTACTCGCAATACATAAGTACTTCAATTTGTCATCGCATTCAGAGTTGATTAACCCAACTAATTGCAGCAAAGCTATTCTAACCTAGAAATATAGGTTACTGTCTCTTTTGATTACGGATCTTTAACTAAGAGAAAGCTCAGGATAATCAGAGAGAAACAAACTATCGGTCGATAAAACTCAATAGTGAGATCCTCAAACTATGTTAAACAATTTGGATATGAGTTAAAGAAATGACAAGTTGGGATAAAAAGGGGATTTCACATCTCCTCTAACACAGTTTAACATTATTTCAGGTTAATATGTTTCGTAATCATTAAGTGTCAATTTTGATCAGTATGACAGGTGTAAACTTTTTCCCAGTGTGAAAATTATATTTTCCATATCATTCTGTACGAGTTTCGTATACGTTTTACAGAAATCTTGTGCATTTTTTCATTTATATGATGTTTACTAACGACTCATCAAATGCGTGTAAAACCGGTTTATAAATGGATGTATTTGGTTTATTGATGACGTAATTTTGGATGAATTGTGGGTAAGGCGTGTTTTTGGAGAGTTAATAAATTTTCACTCGTACTAGCCCTTATGTTATCACTTTGTGTTATAGGAATCCCAATGATTCCCGTTCCCAATTATAAGCGGGTATTACGAACGCGACACCAGAAATAACAGGAAATAGCCAAATTTAGTGACTAAGAAGCCTATGTAAGATAACTAAAAATTAAATACTTTAATTTAATTTAAACGTTAAAAATACGAAGTTCAGTGCACGGATCTCTTTTAAACAAATTTATTATCAAGTTACGCAATTGCATCTATTCAATAAATTTGAAGCAGCATATACCACATTAGTGAATATCTTGATGTCAATAATATAGATGTAGACATCCGGACTAACCACTTGAAAAAGCTATTGTTAAGTCATACCTTTATTATCCAGTTCAGTTTTAACAAAGAAACGTATAGACAACGAGTTGATATCGCATTTGGGTCCTCACTGGGCCCATTCATAGCAGACTATTTCATATTTAAGATTAAAAACAAATAACTTAGTTCGGCCGTCAATCGATCATATATATAATTGTACAACTAGATAACAAATTTGCTGAAAAGAGATCCCTTCGCTGAACTCCTTGTTTTGAATTTTAATTCGAAGTATCACATGTATAGACTGATTGATGTGTAGCTTGTCTTGTTCTTCTGCTTTTTTTATTTTTCATTACTGGATTATGCTAAAAGACTATTAGACCAGTGTCAAAATTGTTATTGTCTGCGTAATGTCATATATTTTCATTATTATAGAATATAATATATGACTTAATATTCTGTAATTTATAAAAATCCCACACAAGTTTGAATAAATGACTTACTTTTAAACGTTGTAAAAGTTGTAATTCTTGAATTTCTGTTAAAATGTCTAGTGTTGGATTATTTGAAATTAATCCACCATCCAAAAAACGCCCACAAGGTCTAAAATATGTCGGTGCAGCGCTTGAAGCCCTAGCAGCTTTCCAAACTGGCTAAATAATAGTAAAAATAATAAGTGAATTAAAATAAAACTGTAAGAAGAATTATTAGTGTTTTACAAAATTGTTCAAACTGGTCAACGTTAATAGTCAGTTAAAAGACTTCAAAATCGTTTAAATCAAAATTAAATGCTTATGAAAAAAAAACTGATTCTTAAGTGAAGTATAAATTTATACATAAGAGTTTAATTTAAGATGTCATGAAGTATAGCTATTCAAACCTGAAAAGTCTTCAAACAACTAACAGAATATGAGATAAATAATATTACTTTACAGAAATGGCTCTTTATAATACTTTTTTATGAACTGAACTTTTAGTCACTATCCATCTAAATAATAGGAATATTGCTCAGTTTCCTAAACCGGAGGAGATGAAATAGGAATTCGAACCTATGACCTACTGGTTTAAAGCTAAATGTTTAACACTTAAGTCATCGTTCCATTAAATGACTAAAATATTTCATAGGAAAATTATTTACAGTGTTTTAAAATCCGATTTCATTATATTTATTTCTACATGACAACGTATCTTTACCATTTTGAAATGATCAAAATTCTTGCCAATATTTGCTTTTTATAATTACGAAATAGAAAGACTTACATGTTCATTATCTTCAGGCATTTGTTCAAACGGATTATTTAATTCAGTGTCAGATGTTGAAAGGTTGGTACTTGTTTCACTACCTATTAACAATCCCTGAGCATTTGAGAAAAAATTTAAAATAGATTGAGAAGTTGAAAGTGTTGATGATTTTGTAGATTGAGTTTCACGATCAAGCTCAAGGGCGGAAGTAGACTGACGATGAGTTAATCCGCTGTTTCTTCTGTTTGTTCGTTGATACACAGAAGACTTTAATCCAGATTGACGTGTTTCTAAAATTTGTTGTATTCGAGTACGGGGAGATTTATAATTTCTGAACATATGCAATATTGGTGGACATCGATCACTGACAAGTGTAGTTACAGCAACTCTAATATTTTTAGAACGAATAAATATATGTAAATTACTTGAAGAAACTATTTCGATGCAGAACAACTTAACGAAAAACAATGCTACCTGTTTTATTGAGAAATTAATGCTTGGTTTGTCTAAAAACATCCAAATGAGATTAGTAAGAGATATTAAACCAAACAGTAACGTATTTCAATGTATTATAAGTTCATGACATATCTGATCACAGAACTGAAAAATAATTCTATAGAGAGGTTGTAAAATTACTAGCTTATTAAACAGCTTACTTTTAGTTATAAAACAATGATATATTTATGATCATTGTCTAGTGGAGTTTAATCTGTATCGGGTGTGAGACAGTTATTTAATCTCATATCTTTCAATTCTCTGTGAAATTGTAAATTTAAAACAATTACATCAAATTTCAATAAAATTACCGTCTGATTACACTTTTGTCAACTGATTTACAAACTGTCCTTGGTACAATTGCTAATACGCAGCTTTAACAGTTCATCTACTCATAGATAACAATTTATTCGTGTCCACAATGGTTGATTGCATCATAAATCTCTTTTGTGCATATTTCACGACTAGATAAACTGAACTTGTATTTTTTTGAACAACTACACTAAATCTCAAGGGAATTAACTGTTTAGATAGAATTCTTAAATAAACAGGATAGTTCTGCCAAAGATCTAATCAAATAAAAATTAATTGCCATTATAGAACGAATACAACTAGATACGAAACTAGACAGTGTTAATTATCTATCACATTCGTGAGTATATCTCACCAAAATGAATAGACAATCTCGTACGAAACCAAATTTAGGGCCTATTGGTAAATTATAAACAAGCAAAGTGAAGGTGTGTTTGATCTGAATGATGGAAGTTCTAGCCAAGACCATATATAAAGTCGTTTGTCATCCACAATTCCAAGGTAGTATTAACTCTATATGCATTAATCTTATAATTTATAAATGATTGTGCTAATTACAGAAAAAATTAAATTGTTCGTATAGATTTGTTTTCAAGTAAAAGAAGCACTTATTAACTGACTGAGTATATGCGAATATTTATGATGAAATCAAAATGATCATTTTTATAAGCAAAAAACTTCATTAAAATAATACAGTCTATGAGTGGTTTATTTGCTAATTAACAAACGAATACAATAAAGGTTATAAAAAATACAGTCATTAATCTTTTACTTCTGGTCATTGTAATAGTATTGTACTGATTCAAGTCTATACACTACTTTTATTCTGACCCAGTGTTCGTTTCTATCAACCTTAGCTAAAATATGTTTCTTTTCAAAAAGTCAGTATTATCAATTAAACCGATAAAAGCACAGCGTATTTATTACCTGACTGTTTTTAAATCGGTCATTACAGTATTATCACCGAATTCATCACGCATTAACATTTCTAATGGTTCCGGTGGATATGGTCGTTTACCACAGAAGACAAGATTTTTGAATCGAAATAATAATGTACGACAACAATGTAAACATTTGCCAGATACTAGAAATAGTGATATCGCTGCACCAGTTGAAGTACCTATAAGATAAATAACATAAATAAATAAACATAAAATGACAAACACACACACAAAACAAGTCGTGACGACTTTTGGATTGCATACTACATAACAACTTTACAACAATGACTTGCGTATTTTAATGTACAAAATATGTGTCTGACCACAAGTAGAACACTGCACCTTTATGTTCTGAGCCGTGTTAACAAAAACGATAAAAGTATGCTGGGATTTGTCAAGAGGCGATGTAAAGGTTACATTCTTGGAGATAATTATACTTCAAACTGAAAATCCAGATGCATTAGGCTTGAAACTGACTTCGTATGGAAGCTGAATGTAATCGTTTCTTCAAAATGCCAAAAAACTAGCTCTTCCAGCCACTGTTGCAATCCAAAATGTCGAAACACCCAATTTCAGCATTTGTATCTCTACATTGAAAGTGAAGATGTTTCATTCTAAGTCTTCTCTCTGTATCAATGACTATACAAGTAAACTTCCAAGACTCTGGAATAGTTTGCCACCAATCTGTACATGAAATAACATCACTAGCGACGTTTGTTCGAGAAATTTATGGTTACCTCTTCCTCTCCGAAACTCATTTAAAAATGAGTCTGTGACCGTAGCCCATTCTACAAGTGACATTATAGAGATATTAAAAGTTTGAACACTGTTTTTACTGGGCATACTTACTAAGTTTACCTTCTTGCAGGTATTTTACACCTACTCTATCCACAGTTAATTTAATTAACTTAAATAGTATCTATCCAAATCAGGTCATGAAACGACTTGGCACTCGTATAACGACAGACCTGTAACAGTAATCTTATTGCTATTATTCTGTGTTTCCTTTTCTCTAGTTGCAATTACTCTTTAATGGCACTAGAGATAATCTTAGTCCCTCTACTAGTATGTTTGAAGAGATTACGAGTTCACCTAAAAATCAGCGAACGCAAAGAAGGATCAGTGATGCAGTGACAGGACAGCTAAACTATTCCAGTTAGTCCCATCCCTGCTAACTAGAGGGAGAAGTTCAGGTTCAGATGAGGAAAAGTGTATTCCACAAGTAGCCAAAGGCACGAACAAAAACAAACACATAGCTCAAGCGTATATATAGCATAAAAATGTGCTTGGGGGATGTCGCAAAATTACATATTAAAAGAGACAACTAACCAATGACATTTAGGGTCGTTTCAAGTAGGAAATACAATCTGAAGGTAAAAATGAAAGCTTTTGGCGCGAAAACTGGAAGTTCTAGTTTCCAAAAATAACATGTTTACCAAGTGATTTCTGGGGATCTAGCATCCCCAACACCTACTAAGAGTTAGTGGTTTCACTCTGCTTCCTCCTTGTAAAGAATTTCCCGAAACTATTTATGAACTACATTATTTCAGACAATTTAACCATGTATTTCTGCGCTTTACATGTAACATTGCTTTATGTATCAACCAAATCATGATTTTAAACTTAGTACGCATTCTGGAATAATGTAAGAAAATAATACTTTATTTATCTACTTAAATGGCATCAAATGTTGTTAAGTGGTTAGAGGTAATCGGTAAGAAAACTCTAATGTAAATTTCGTAGTAGTAAGCATTCATTAATAAGGCACACACTTTTACAATCCTGCATGGAATGTTTCTCTCTGTACAATTAGGATTCGCGTCATTCAGTGACATAATAATGATTATCACTAAGTGAGCAATTAGTATCAATAAAAGCATGTAAAATAGTAAGCATATGAAAGTGAAACGAAAACAACACATTTCAATGATAAAAGTTTACTATGGCGACTATCATTATTATTATTAAACATAAATCAGAAGATGAATATGAATGTACTTTGAAAAACAACAATCTACTAGTGATTAAGATTGTTTAGTTGTAAAACGTAGTTGTTTAAATGACAAACTATTTACTGATGTAAACAGCTTTTATGAGACCGTCCGCGTTCTTTTTCTCAGAGATATGTTCTTAACGGAACAATAGATTATCCAAATAAAATTGATCTGCTAAATTTTAAGCACATTTTTCTATACTAATATGTTAGTGTTTCAAACGAGACTTAAACTTATGATATTTCACTTTACTGCATTGTGATTAATTACTCACTGAAGCGTAGAAAACTCTAAATGTGAAAAATGTAAACTAGACAGGATGTTATATACTAATTCTTATAAGAAAATACCTTGACTTATGGTGATGTAGACGGCAACAACAACAACAACAACAAAAGATGTGAACAAAAACTAACTAGAAATAACTATAAAAAATTGGCAGAAAGTAACAATACTGCATAACGGTTCAGTTTACTACACACTCTACATTCACGGGGAAAGACTAAAAAAAACTATACTTGCCATTAGTGTTGATAATTCCTATAATCAACTATATATTTTCGTGACAATTTTTTAAAAGTGCCTCCAAAAATATCTTATGATCGTTTTATAACAAAACATTAAATTAATTAAGCAGGAAATTTTTAAGAGATAATTAAGAATAGAATGATTGTTTGAATTTATTCTAACAACATTCTTAAAATGTAAAGTAATAAATCTGTTAAAATTATAAAGACAAATATTGAAATAATCATATCACTTATGTTACACAATTAAGTGTATGATTTGGAATGACAAAGTAAATACTTAAAAACTTTAACCAGTTCGTGATATCTTTTGTTTATTAGTTAGTGTGATCTACTTTGATAATTATTAACAGCATACATACTAAGTAACGATGAAAAAAAATCAGCTGATGAGCTAAGTGAATCACTATCCATTGAAATAGCTGACATATATATTACAAATGCATAAGAACCTCCTGTGTTTAACGTGAATTGTTGGTTAGAGTAGGAGTAAGTTGGAAAAAAATAGGAACGATTAATTCAAAAAATAACATTAGTCCATAAGACATTGAAAATTGAGCTGAGGCACTTAAGAGTTCATGATTCACACGATTATTATGACCAGTGAATGGAGACGTTAGGTGATGTGACTTAGAATCGATCACAGTGACCTGGACGGATCCACTCTTCACTTTCCTAGAGATCTTGAACTGTAATGTCCTTTCTTTTAGGACCACATTTTCAATATTAAGTCTTTGTTATTATCATTGCTACAAGATTATTCAGACTTTCTCATTAATCTTACTAAGTTAATTTTGTTATGCTGATGTAAGATAACAACTTTAGCCAACTTGAATCCATACCATACTCTAAGTTGAATATATCTGATACATCCGTTTCAAATGACCTTTAGGAATCAATAATAATCATAATCAATAAGAAATAAATAAACAAATATTAGTGATGATGAAAAACGTTACCAATGATCCAATCAAATAATTCTGTAATTTTCTTTCCAGATGCTATTTCTAAAGCACGAAGTAATTGTACGATAACTAATCCACGCATACCACCACCATCAAGTGACAGAACACGGAGGCCATTAGGTCCAACTTTCCATTTTTTGGATTTCTTAAGACCATGTTGATTACCGGTAAAATTACAATGATTATGATCATCATCATATGTATCTAAGTCAGACAGTTGATTATGATTGGTGAATTTGTCCGAATCATCCCCCTTATTTCTAGATATATCAGCAATATCAGTGTTTGTAGGAATAGTGTCAAAAGTACTAGCAGTAGCACAATTTGTTGTTGTTATTATTGATGGTGTGCCTGAATCCATAGGTATTCCATTACGTTTAGTGAACACTGAAGGATCACAATTACATTTTGTAGGCCTGAAATTACATGTTGCCTCTACTGGTAAATGTACTTTCCTGGGATTTGTATTGTCAGAGGACTAAATGTTGAGTAGTTAAAATAAAAAAGTGAAAATATTAAATACGAGAACCTCATTGTCGCAAAGTGATGTTACAATTATACAAAGAAAAACAAACCGTTCACTATAAAACACAATCAAATGATCATATAGTTTTTTTCATTTTTAACTATCAGTGACATTCATAACTTCATGATTGATGACATTACTCAGCTAATTTAAACAAACAAGATAAAGAAGGACTTGAACTAGTAATTAAGAGTATAAGAGCAGACTTTTTAATTTAATAAGCCACATACTAATGATTTTCACCGTTATTACATGGTGGTATTGTAACCGGAAGAAAGCGAGTGGACAGCAAAAAAAGTGTAGATACTTTATGATCTGTTCGCTAGGACATTCTAACAGTGACATATCTGTTCTGTAAACCAGATAAGCTATGGAAATTATCGTAGATATGGTATTTACATAGAAAAAATAGAGGGTACTAACCCGAGGTATAGAATTTCAAAGCAAGAGAGTAAGCCAATTGATGTGATTGTGAATATGGAATAAAGTATACAAATGAGTTAAATGTGACACATGCCTGATTATTACTCAAATAAATAACTGATATTAACTCGAATGAGAACAGGGAGTATGATGGGTTAATAATGCCATTCGAATAAATGAATATAAAGTGAAATAACGTCTGATATTCTAATACGCAACTATATATCTAAGTGGTTCTATATTTATTAAGGATTACTTTAAATTACTGACATCAAAAATAAAATTTAATTGAAATTAAAGATAAAAATAACAAAGAAATAATGAATTTAAGGAATCAACGAAAAAAATTATTAATACATTATGACTGAACAAAACGTAACAGTAATATAAAGTGGTATTTGTAACAAACTGACATTAGCTGTGGTATCATTAAAAACAAAGAGTGCTGGACAGGTGTTTCGTTCTAGCATGAGATCTCTGATCATTCACCCACGAATTCCGAATGAACGAAAGCAGAACCTGCAAATCTCAAGGCAAAACTAAACATATGAGTCACGCAGTTGGAATCCAATGATTCGCATTTTCAACACCGATTAATCCCCAATCTAGCACAACGATCATAAAATGAAATCGGTAACTATTGCTTGTATCGACATGGATGACCTCAACTGGCCACAGTTCCTCGAGAGAACTGCCTCGAAATAATGGTCACGCTGGCCAATAACAAGGAGTTAGGGTTTCGATTTACTAATGGGATATGAATACGGTAAAACTAGGGATGAATTATTACTTACTTACAAATAGTATATCGAGACGTTATTCAAATGCTATAAAGATAGTTAGTCTTGAACATCAGTCTATTAAATTTCTCAAGGAGGTTAAAGCGAGTCTAAATGCGTAGTTGGTTCTTTAGCTGACATTATTCAAAAACTGGTACAACATCCTTAAAGATATTGACTTTCGACCTTAAAAACATCGTGCATATATATACATATATTCTTCGTCCAATTCCAGTATTTATCATAACTCCCCTATCTGTGTCACTGAAGATTATAACAACTAGAGTGATAAGTAAACTTTAATGTGACTAATGATTCAATAACTTTAGGTGTTCAAAGTGATTTTTGTTCCACTAGAAGTTGACATCTTCTATGGAATCTGTTTTGAGAATTTCATCTTGCTGTGCCAATATGGTATGCGAAATTGAACAGACGTACATATATGTCATGCTCTACGTTGTATATAACTTAATAGTCTAAAAATCTATAATTATCAATGAAAATTTGTTAAAATTTGATAAACAATTACGATAAGATTTCAGTTGGAAGTATGACAATCGCTGTTTATGAACAGTAAAGATTATTTCGAGTACGTAAACTAGATGTTACAATAACTGACACACAACACTAATAATAATCTCCGAACATGGAACCGAGAAAGAAAGTAGTATTAGTACAGAAAAAACTGATATTTACTGAGGAAAAATTGGAACAGTACTCTGTACAAATAGTAACAAAAACATAACTTTGAAACACGGAAAATTAGCAAACAAAGTGGTGATAACCAGTCGGAAAAATGCACAGATTATACGAAGACTTACATTAAAAAAGTAATCATGATTATCGTTAAAGGTAAGAACTTAACATTTATTGACTAAACTCGACAACCAAGTAACATGCTCGCAGATCTTATAACGTCAAGCTTCAATTTTTTGTGAAAGTGTGGCGTAAATCCAGTAACCTCGGGTAACAATAGTGAAAACCAAATCCCCCCCAAAAAAAACCAATACTACAAGAATGTCTGAAATGATGTAGAAAATTTGCAGCTTAGTTGAATACTTCCAGCGTTCTCGAGTTTTCTGAGCCAGATGGTCAAATCAGGAAAATTTGATTGCCATTATGGAAAATAATATCAGGGATTATTGAGTGTAAAAATTATTTTTAGAATCAGGGCATGATATTACTAGCTATTATTTCACCGTGTTAGAGTAACTCTACAGGCACAGATTGCAGAAGACTATTCGAAATTCTGTTGTATTATACAAAAATTTATATCTGGTATTGCATTAATTAATACTAAAGAATAATTTGATCAGAAGTTTATTCTACTAAGTAAGATAAATAGTTAAGCAAAGCAATCAAGAGGATATATGTGAAAATAAATTTTGTGTTTACTATCTGAGAAAATAATGAAATATTTTAACAAAGAAATTCTTCGGTTTTTCACGCTACACAAACATGAGTGAACGATTTAATCATAACATCAGACAATTATCTTTGATTTACTTAACAAAACCGATTTATCTGAAAGAACAGAGTATTTGCTTATCATCAATTAGATAAAGTTATCAAAAAAATATATTTGATTTTGTAAGCGGAAAAATTACACGAGTAAAACAAGTATTAATTTTAGGACCGATTTCTCCAATTTCCTGTAGTGCAGCAAATAAGCGAGATATAACCTGAATACTTATAGATAACATATGAATGTTATTGGACACCGATATATCCAATGTGTTGAGTTTCAGTCTCAGCTCCAAAATCATTGTATGCTATTTAACTCAATGAAATATATCGCTTTTTAGTCATGGATAGATTCAAGGCGACTTTCCTGTTAGAATAAAATATTAAGGAGTGAGTGTAATGACAAAAATTGTAATAATGGATCATCAATAGAAATGTAAACCAGACGAACACATAAATGTAGCTAATCATAGACAAAAATGATATTCTTCACTTTAGTGAATGATAATAATCTGATACAGTAGGGAAGTGTAAGCTAATTAATTATATAGAACAAAGTAATTTTATGTTTAGTAGTAAAATGATGGTATGGAAAAAGAAAAAGATTAAAGATAGAATCATATATACCCCGTTAGGTGATCAAATTTATTAATTCGATCCTTAAAATTTAGTAAATTTGCAAAAGTAACAAAAAACGGAAATGACAAAAATAGTCGTATTGAGAGTAGAATTCAAATCTCAGTGAAAATTTAGAAATCACAACACAATTTAAAGACTGTTGGATTTTTTGTGGTCCGATGAACGTATGAATATGTTATGGACACAAATTTTTCATTTAATTCCGTATATTAACTAGGATAAACCTGTTTGTGTAACGGCGGTTGTAAGAAGTCAAATACGGGTCGCGTTGGATGAAATTATTCCGAGTATTTTTCTTCCCAAAAAGAGATTCAGAATAAGAAGTGGAAAAGCGAAGAAAGGAACAGAGCGGAGAATGCATGTGAGCTAACTCGACCTGATCAAGTGTGACTCGATATTTATAGTCAGACAAAAATGAACTAAAGACATGTGATAAGTAGGGTAAGCAATGTACACTCATATGCTCATATAGAAAAGGTCAAGGCTAATAAGTGACTCTACTATGGGAAGTCAAATCTAGGACCATAGGTCTCGCGAGGGAACGCCTAACATTTAGACCGCTGAATTTCAATCCATTGATGTACGTGTCTGGCTTCAATTGATTCACGATATTGATAGACCATTTTCCATTACGTACGATGGATAACTGTCTTACACTCGATATATTCGAATCCTACTTCTCACAGCTTCTCACTATAATTACTGGAACGGCCTGTTGAAGTTAGTCACTAATGAACACATAATTACTATTTACTTTCATGTAAAGATAAAACTTAGGCGAAAAAAAGGTTGCGAAGAACACCTTTAACATTATTCCACAAGTTCTGAAGTAGAATAAAGCAACAGCTATTAAGCAATAAAAAGATGTTCATTTTTAATGTTAAATAATTTATTCTAAGGGATTAAAGTGAAAAATATATAATATGGTCAAAGTAAATATCAATTACTAATATGAAATGACGCGACGATGTGTAAAATACGAATGCTCATAATTTGTGGTGTAATATATGGAACATTAAATATTGAATCAACATTGTGAATACATGAATATTCAGACAATCAATATATAGAATATAATCAGTCTTTTATGCATGATTAATGTAAAATTATTATTACATTTACAATAAATTCAACTTTATTATCACTTACTTGTTGTGAATTATTTGTTACATTAGTAAATTTAGTATAACCTAATTGTTCAGTTGAATGTGAATTCGATGTGAGTTCAGTTTCTGAGTCAGAGGCTAAAGTTAAAAAAAAAGAATTAAATAAATAAAGATGCAACAACCACAACCACAATAGTAACAACGTAATAGTCATACCGGGAGAATGAAATATACATATATATAACAATTGAGATTGTAATGCCAGATGTTTGTAATTATACAAGATGAAAATATGAAATTTGGTCTGATAATTATCAACAATTGAAAATAACATATATCTAAAAGTTCTTTTTAAAAAAATTATACATGAATGTGTTTCGTTTTAATTTATAATTAATTAAATTCCTAATTTAAAAAATATTGTCAAAAGGCTACTGTGAGAATGTAATTTAAACTCTGTGGGATCCTGGGTTCGGATCTCGCGAGGCGGAATCGTGGATGCGCACTGCTGAAGAGTCCCATACTAGGATGGAACGGCTGTCCAGTGTCCAGGTCTTCAGTGGTGGTCTAGCTTCAATTGACTCATGAATTTATTCATTAAATTACTACAATCTCCACAAAAAACCCTCTCTGATTGTAACCAATCATGTTTAACCTATAAGAGTTACATCGATTTTAGGTGATTAGTAATGTAATAAATACTATAAATGGAGTGATATTATGTTTTGTAATCTGTTTTGATATCAGATGTTTGTAGTCGGTGGACAGAAAAACATGAACTTTATTACTGTATAGACTAACAAATAATCAATGATTCATGCATCGTTAGCCAAACAGTTTCAGTGAACAAGTAATGATTTGAGTTTCAGAAATTTAATCCTGAATTATTGATTCTGTAGTCCGCTGAGTTTCAGATATTTTTTGCATTATATTTTCTGCAAACTACGTGACAAACTTTCATGGTTCAGATCACGAACTGATCTTCGTTAAACAACCATTGAGAACCTGAAGGCACACATTCACGACCCTGCATCTAGGAGTCGAACCCGGGGCCCTTATTCTCACGCACGAACGCCTAACTTCTAGACCACTGACCCAGCATCCAACGGTGTTTATGTCTAGCTATAACAATTGCTAAATTGTGAAATTATGTATATATTTTGTACCAGTAGGAGTTGTATTGTAGAGTATGCTAATTATGTTGACGGATATTAGAAGTAGGTAACACTGATCAGATGTGGAATGTCTGTGAAAAGAAGGTTGAGAAGATTGAATTGAACAGATAGGGAAACATAAAAGAATTGAGCATTATGAGAATTATAAGGTATGTAAATAGAAACTGATGTAAAATGTGCAAATGGAGTATGTAATGTAGGGTTTTTATAATTTACGAAGAAACTTTGTAGTTTTGAACTAAATAAATTGGTTGTCCCCACCAAGTCTTCGTTCACTACAGTATGACTAGTAATAATGAAATTTCTGTTACTTCATTTTATATTCTCATTCAAAACAACGTTATATACAATCGTTCAAAAATACTGCTGAGGAATCTTGTACTAGGGCAAGATAACTGTTCAGTACTTCCGAGATTTTCCTAACCAAAAACAGTTTATGATGTGAAATTTATCAAATAATTTCATTTAATTACTTACCTAACCTTTTATAACAAATCAGAGTGATACAATTTAGCTAGAAACCTATGTGCATACTGTCAACAGAATCTAAGACAGTTTACTAAGATACTTTTTATTAAACACAATAGTGTGCAAATAATACGGGATTTCATACAGATGAATAGTTTGGATTTGAACGGTCACCAAAGTAAATACACATCCATGAATTTGCTGCTAAGTTTTGTCGCATACCCTTCATCGTGCTTGTACTCCCTTGTAAGATATTTTTTACTTAACCTTGACTATACATTCGTCCTATCCACATGATATTTTACTAATAATAGCTAATATCATTAATGATAATAATAATTATTGTTATTATTATTATTACTATTATAATCACAACTACAGTACAATAATTCCTACTTTTATTAACTTGTTTCTACATAGAATTTTAATCTATCGATCACAAGTGATCACCCGAAAGCATATAATTGTTTTGACCGTTATGTGCGATCTCATCTTAGCATTTCTACTGACTCTATTTTATTGAATATTTTTTAATATTTCAGACTAAATCGATGTGAAATTTACCAACTTCAATTTAGAACATGGATTAATTCAACTTTAATATTTTGTTAATTGTAACACAATAATAATAATTTGATGCATAACAGTGGAGTCACTTGAAGAAGTTATCGATAGCTATCACTTGGTTTGGTGCTGTTTGGTCTCAAATATTCTATGAGAACTTTTAAATTGCTAAAATTTTGTACTTCTGCAATGAATCGTTTGAATTTATGACATTTTTCTACGAAAATTGCGTAAGTACCCCCAGTGCAAAAAACAATTGTTGGCGTAGCTATCGTTAATAAAAGTTAGCATTCATGAGGGAAAATAATTACAGCCAACAATCAATATTAGTGCTATAATTATTGGACCAAAGAGACTAAACAAGACGAACAGTTGTAAAGAAATAAACTAACTGTGACAAACTAAGTTTAAGTCAGAACTACCTACACATAATGTGTTAAGACAACTAAACAACCAATGAAAAAACAAATAAACATTTATGAATATAAACGTGATATTAGGGGAAAATATGTAGCCATCTAAAATTTATGATAAGACACTTCTGTTTTAATTTCTATCTACACACTTCAGTTATTTTCAATCAGGAAAAGAGTGAGAAAACTTTCAAATCCGCAAACATAACAGTCCGTATATATATACTATCTGCTAAATCACTTTTTAAAAATAGCTTGTTGTTTGAAAAATATATCCTTAAAAAATACAACTCTTAAAAACTAACTAGCTAGCCCTCTAAGAATAGCGAGAGAATGTTCGATAGTGTTGATTATTTGCAAAGAGGTAGTTTGCACACTTTCCAGTCAGTAAAACATAAGACAACCCAAGACAAAATTACATAAAAAATCACGAAAAATTTGACCCCAGATTAAACTTACATCAAATCATATCACTCATCTTTATTGATGAAATGCTATGACGAGGAATGAATTGAACGTTACGAATATATATATATATATATATATATATATATATATAAAATAAAGAAAGAAGTATTATGAGTTGGTACGTCGTTCAATATTCTGACAATTTTAACAATTGTCTAGATATAATCAGTTTACTTACTAACTTCGGCCTATTACTGATCGTGAAGAAGCATAGGATGCCCACTAGCATTCTCCATCCAACCCTGTCCTGGGCAGTCCTTTCCAGTTGCTATTCGTCCTTTTCATGTCTGCTTCCAATTCCTGACTCAATGTGTGTTCTTGGGCCTACCACTTTTCCATTCCCCTTCAGGATTTCAATTTAGCGATTTCATCGTGATGCGATTTGATGACTTCAGCAATTTATCTCCCATCCACTTCCATCATCTTTTCCTAATTTCGTTTTCAGATGGAAGCTGGCTTATTATCTCCCACAGTAGGCTGTTGCTGATGGTATCCGGTCAACGGATATTGAGTATCTTACGTAGACAATTGTTTACAAATACTTGTACCTTTTTGATGATGGTTGTAGTAGTTCTCCAAGTTTCGTCTCCGTACAGTGGGACTGTCTCAACTTTCGTATTGAAGACTCTTACTTTGATACTGGTTGACAGTTGTTTTGAGTTCCATAAGTTCTCCAATTGTAGGAATGCTCTCTTCGCTTTGCCAATCCCCGCCTTTATGTCTGCATCAGATCCTCCTTGTTCATCGATGGTGCATCCCAGATACGTGAAAGTTTCCATCTCTTCCACGTATTCTCCATCAAATGTGATTGGATTGGTGTTCTCTGTGTTATATTTGAGGATCTTGCTTCTTCCCTTGTGTATGTCGGAGCCTTATGGTGCAGAGATTGCTGCCGCCACACTGGCTGTCTTCATCTGCATTTGTTCGTGTTTGTGTGTGTGGGGGGATAGAAGGGCCACGTCATCTGCGAAGTCTAAATCTTCTAATTGATTCCGAGCTGTCCACTGCGTTGCTTGCTTCTCGTCAGATGTCGAGGTCTTCATAATCCATCAACCACCAGAAGAAAGAGAAAGGGGGCGAGTAAGCAATCTTGTTTAACTCCGGTCCTCACTTGGAATGCGTCTGTCAGCTATCCTCCATGCATCACTTTGCACTGAAACTCCGTCGTATGAATTCCGAATGATGTTGACGATCTTCTCAGGTACACCATAGTGTCTAAGAATTTTCCATAACGTTCTCCTATCCACACTGCCAAACGTCTTCTCATAGTCAATGAAGTTGATGTATAGTAACGAGTTCCATTCAACTGATTGTTCAACGATGATCCGTAGTGTCGCAACTTGGTCTGTGCACAACTGACCCTCACGGAGATCAGCCTGTTGATCTTGTACTTTTGCGTCTACTGAGTCTTTTATCCGGTTCAGTAACACTCTGTTGAAAACGTTTTCTGGGGACTGACGGTAGTCTAATGCCTCTGTAGTTCTCACATTTGCTTAGATCTCCTTTCTTTGGTATCTTAATGAGGTGTCCTTCGGATCTATATTGTCGTCGTTGCTATTACTGGTGAGTGCATAACATTGGATAACATTCATTCTGATTCTCTCTTTCTTTATTTTGAATGATGCTTTGATGTTCCTGGGTCCATGAGATTTCCATCCTATAAGTGTGTCTCGTTCTTTGTTGGCCAGCATCAAAGCAACTCCTGAGTGTTTAGTGCATTTTCCTCTTCATGACTGGAATATAGAAGCATCCCTCCTGTATCTAGACTTTTCTGTTCAGCTTGGGTTTAATGGGTTTCGTTGATTCCGAGAAGCACCAATTTGTATCTCCTCATTTCCGTTGCTATTTGACTGATCCTCCCGGTCTTCCACATTGTCCGGACGTTCTATGTACCGATAAAAATGTTTGCTCTGGTTGTTAGAATGGGCATCGGTCTCGAATTTCATCATGAGGTGTCATGATTCTTCCTTCAACTAGGAGGGCAGAGTTTAAATGGTTTAATTTGTTTAGCATTTTTCTTAACAAGGCTGTTTTCTACGGTATGGGATTATCGACTACACGCCCAACCCTCCTCCTTTGTGTGGGCTTGGTACTGGCAGTAGCTTTAGAGGAGCTACAGGTGGAGTTATGATTAGTTTAGATATCAAAAAAAATATCTACAAAGTAGAATTCAACTTACGAACACTAAAAGATGCCAGGTGTACACTACCGTCAGACAGGGATTGACTGACTAACTGTACACTATTATCATTTGGTAAAGATACCATTCGTCGATGCGACTTTGGAGTATGTGAAAATTGTTGTGAATGTCGTTGTTTAATATTACTCTGATTTACATCATCGTTTTCTGAATAAGAATTGTATGAACGTGGAATCATACCATTTGATAAGTCATTATTCAACATTGTTTGAGATTGAGTCATTTGACTTGTTTGATGTGAAGGGTTATAATCAACTGAAGTAGTGCATAAGAGAATTTCTTCAATTGCTATAATTTAACAATAAACAATTAAATAATTAATTTTAAGACATCATATACAAGTAGTGAAGGTATTTTTGGGAAATAAAATAGTATTTTGTTTTAATAATTAGTGTAAACACTGTAGAATAACTAGTGAACTGATGAATTACAATAACAGTCATACTGATTAATGAATTCATATACATTTACTTTATTGCGTTACAGTTTTTAAAGTTTGTACTTAGTGAAAGAAAATGGAGTTTCGAAAAAGATGATTACATTTCAATGAGAATAGACAAGAAACTTAGTGATCGGTAACATAAGAACAACCAGAATTTAACATAAGGTTCCGTAACGAATGACCCACAAGGATAGACTTAAAGTACACTAATTACTGACAAACTTATGAAGGTAATATGTCGGAATATAGAAGTTTACATATTGCTCTTGCTCAGTGTAACAAATCATGATATTTTATTCAGTAAAATGTTAGTTTCTTATCAGCGTGATATTCAACATTGATTTCATCATTAGTGTAACATTTAGTCAATATCATATTGAGTCTATATTTTCCAGTGTGACATAATCTCAGGTTAATATGTTTCGTAATCATTAAGTGTCAATTTTGATCAGTATGACAGGTGTAAACATCCTTCCAGTGTGACAATTATATTTTTTATATCATTCTGTACGAATTTTGTATCTGTTTTACTAGTACCCTTTTGCATCTCTTTATAAATATGATGTTCACTATCGAGTCATCAAGTGAGATGATAGAGAAGAATTGTAGCTCAGGGGGATGATTTCGATGGAGTTTTGTTATCTGAGTTGGATGGTTTGGTCGTGGAGCTTTCATCGTTATTCTGAACGACATCATCAGCACAAAATTCAGATAAAAGTGAAGTCATAATGCAAGCTCTACGATCAAACCATCCAGTTCAGAGAACCGAACTTCATTAGAATCATCAAGTGTGTGCAAAATCAGTGTATGAATGAATGTATTTGGTTTAGTGATGATGTGATTTTGGACGACTTGTGTGGAAGACGTGTTTTTGCAGAGTCAATGAATTCTCACACGTACCAGTTCTATGTTATCACTTTGTGTTATGGGAATCGTAATGATTCCCGTTTCCAAGTATAAGTAATATCACAGAAGCATTTCGATTAGTTGCTAAAAACGTCTTTCAGGACTTATTGCTATGTTAAATTTATTGATACGGATTAGTTGAGGCGTTTATTGTTTTTTATTTTTTTTTTTGTGAAGAACACTATAGTACATAAAATTACAGCACTAGAAACAAAAATAATTATTTTTCGAGAAAGTAGGTGAACGTATATAATTACGGTTATATTGATTGTAATAACTGAATATAATGAAATAATCTCGCGAAAATGTTATAATTGTTGAATAAAAGATTAGTGCACTTACATTAAAATAAATATTTGTTTGTCTGTTTTTAAACCAGAGTACTATATTGAATTTAAAAGAAATTACATATCGACAACTCGTTAATTATCAATAATGCTCTACTTTGGAGCTGTGTAATGAACAAAGTGTTCATTGTTTAGTTAGCACGACTTGAAGTGCCAACCGACTTACTTCCGTTTGATGAAATAGGCTCTGGAGCCGTGTATTTACAGCTGAAATTTAAACACTTATAATCACATTTGATCACTAAAGTTGAATAATACAATTTAATTAACTATTCAGTGGATTATAGTTTGTTACGCACTTCTAGCATGACAAAAAATACTTGTATCCCGTCAAACTTGTAAAGAGAAGTGAAGTCATAGAATTTAAAGATGGATCTGAACATCGAGTCTTCAAAAAAAGGAGAGGTGATATGATGGAAAGAAAAGTCAATTTTCGATTGATTTACTCATTGAATTTACTTCAAGATTACTTCCGTTTTGATTCAATGTAATGATTACTCAATGTAGTATTTGTTTTCTTTTCTCGTATGATATTTTATTCTGTATAATATACGATATTCTTGCATTCCATTGACATGAACTATGCGATGTGATTTGTTATAACTCTAAGTATTTTTCATATATGTGATTTCATCCTAATTATTAATCAAAATGGGTGTACAATCAATATATAAATGAGTGTATTTCCTACTAGAGTCGTCGTTATAGTGTTTCGGGTTAATAAATCATCACGTATACCAGTCTTTGTGTCTTTACTTTCGCGCCGTGGGAATTGCAGAGGTCCCTCGTTCCGAGTATAAGTGATAAGCGTTTTCGACATAACAATCAGCGACGAGCAGATACAAAAAGTAGCATTAAAAGAACCAAGACAATAAGCATTCAAACGACAAGTTATAAAAAGAAGAAAATCTCGACCAATCGTAACAGGGATTTCTTCTAAGAGGATAGTAGTGATAAAGTGATTACGAAAATAAAGACACTGTCACAAAATTAAGTTGCTTTGAACTGTTACAATGTCAGACAACATTATAGGAAGAAATCAGTGGAAAGTGGATTGACAAGAAGACATAATGAAAATATTGGGAAACAGATAAAACTAGAGTAATGAGTGACCCAATGTTCAAGGCAAGATAAAGCATTAAAGAATACACGCAAATCGAATTTGGCATCTCGGATTATATCGTTTAGGCATTTGCCGATAATTTATACACTATTATCAACCACAAGTTGTGAAGTTCTCAAACTTAATTTAACAGCGCAGAATATGATATGATCTATTGGTACATTCTCTATAAAGATACTCTACCTTCGTTTCATTCGGTCAGTCAGTAATACGAAACGTAGAATCTAGCATGTGTGTATATAGGTTCAAGTTGTCACACTCTATTGGCATAGTAAGACAGAGTTTTCAGGGCGAATCCTAAAATAGTAGTAGTAACAGTATGTGGAAACAGAAAAGATACAGAAAAATACAATTCAAGGAAATAAATATTAGTGAAATATAAAAATTTATGAGGAACTTAGAAAGTTAAAAGTAATTAAAGACAAAACGAAAGCAATCGAGACAATGTGAACGGCTTTCAGCCATGTATTTTCAAGCCTCTAATCACTGGTTACGATAATCAATCGGACTCAAACTAGGTAAGCTACACCTACCTACATGGCTCTACTCAACAAACAGTATCTTCATGGACTGACCCCAAGTTCCAGTTCGCTCCGAAACCAGCCATAATCGTGCGTCGAGCTAACTGATGAATGGGATTATGTATTTCATATGCTAATTATCGCAAATGATAAGATTTAACTACCTTCCTAATCGATTTTTTACGGTTACATATTATTCTCCGTCTTACCTCAGAATTGCTAGCCTCAAACAGCACTAAAAATCCTTGATGGAGTTTTGTTCTCTGATCTGGATGGTTTGGTAAGAGAACGAAACTCCATTAAAATCATCCACCTGAGCTACAATCACTAAAAATCCCCGTTTGATTCAGGTAAAGTACAATGCAGAAATAAACTGTGTTATATGTGCTCAACCTCATCAGTTTTCTTTATAGTGACCAAGAACATTAAATTACGAATGCTTTTTTTTGAGTAAAAAATCTCGTGTTTAGACAAGATCAGTCCTTCTTAACTTTATTATTCTCTAATAGAATGCCACAATAAACGTCTCAAAACATTTAAGGAAAAATTATTTCATTATTATAACGCAACAAAGAAGATTGAGTTAAACAACGTAAACCATCAAATGAATAGGATGCATATGTTCGTAATAAAACAAGTGTTCTACAAAACAAGAACCAGTATAATTCGGTTTCGTTGAAAAAGAATCACTCAAATCCCATCTCATGGTACGCATGTTTAAACTTCATGTAGCTTCTTATGTATTGGCTATTTGAACCTCCCCACTGATGCCTAAAACTGCAACTGATCAGTCCCTTTTAAGCATACGTGCATCTTTTGTGGAATACCTCGTTGTTACCATTACGTACAAGCATTTGCATGCAGAGATGGATGGTGGGTAGCAGTGGGATTCAGGATGCATGTTTCGTCCAATTTGGGGCTCCTCAGTTAAATGTACCTGCAACCCAGAGTTGATATTCACTGTGTTAGTAGGTCATAGGATGGATTGTTAGATGTTTCACGCAGAATGATATTGAGGCACTCTGATTAGTCCATTTTTAGACGATCATTGTTAGAAGATAGACGAAGAAGATAAGAATATATTCGTGTATAAATTATAAATTTACTAACAGTCTTTGCACCTGATTGTTACTCCCATTAAACCTTGATTGTTTTGGAATATAATCTCGTCCCTGTTGAACCGTGCTCTAATTTCTGCCAGTCAGATAAAGTGGCTGAGTCAAATAAAGAGAGATCTCAAATCTCCGAGAATCAAGCGCGGTACTATTAACTTCATGAGGCAACGCGTAACCCATTTGACTACTGAGTACTGATACTCACCGGTTACTTGAATCCTCTGATTGATGTTTGGAATTGCGATTGATTAACCCACTTAAGAACTCACTTGTTTTTAAAAAAAATAATACTAGTAGCTTTTATTTCAAGTTAGATGCATTTTCACTAGTACTAGTAATATAATTAAATAAATGAATAAGTACTCATTAGTGAGTTAACGGTGTAAAGATGCTAAAAATTCTAAACAACATGACATTTTTTACAGAAAAAAACAATGACAATACAAGGTTAAAGAGTGAAAATGAAGTTAAAGAAAAGATGAGAGAAATAAAGGAAATAAAAATTATATATTGTTTTTGTACGCAAAGGTTAGGTTTAAAATAAAAATTCTTTTCATTATGGATCAACGTTAGTCATATAAGACTGACAAGTACTACGGCGCATTTTTTATTATGCTCACTTATGGAGAGCTTCGAGAACTCTCAGAGTTCAAGTGAAAGTCATGTTTAGTGAGTTCAAATAGACTTACGAATGGTATAGATATCATTGACGAAATTGGATGAAGGTCTTGCAATATTGTAAGCCAACTTGGCTTATAAATTTGAATAAACGGATTATGATCTAAGGATTTGAATCTCCTAAGGTTTGATTCCCGGAGGATTGGTCGTGGACCTCCAAGCAATAACAAAATAGAACGAAAACAACATTTCAGTGTTTCTCAGTTTTATCTATGTAATATCAATTTGTATAGTTGAAATCATGAGTCAATTGAAGCTAGACCATCATGGAAAACCTCGAAGCACTGGATGTCCGTCTCGTCCTTGTATGGGACTCCTCAGAAGTACGCACCCACGATCCCGCACCCCACGAGATTCGAAACCAGGACCTATCAGTCTCGCGCGCGACCGCTTAACCATTAGACCACTGAGCCGGCATCCAACGGTGTTAATGTCTAACTTCAACCAATCCACGACGTTGCGCCACCGTACACCATTGTCTTCAGTGAGTTGATATCTCACAACAGACCTGGTTGAACTCCACTGGTAACGGCTTCTCACTAGAACTCCAGCAAATGCCTCTTGAAGTCAGTCACCAGTGAGCAGATGATTATTATCAGGTGTTTTGTGGAGATTTTTTACAAATTTCAATAGTTGGAATCATGAGTCAATTGAAGCTAGACCATCATGGAAAGCCTGGAAGCACTGAACGGCCGTTTCGTCCTAGTATGGGACTGCTCAGCAGTGCGCACCCACGATCCCGCCTCCCGAGACATCCGAACCCAGGACCTATCATTCTCTCGCACGAGCGCCTAACCATTAGATCACTGAGCCGGAATCCAACGGTGTTAATGTCTAACTTCAACTAATCCACGAAATCGCGCAACCGTACACCATTGTCTTCAGTGAGCTGACATCTCACAACAGACCTGATTGATAGGTCCTGGGTTCGAATCTCGAGGTGACTCATGATTTCAACTATTGAAGTTTGTAAAAATCTCCACAAAACACCTTTTGATAATATCAATTTGTGACGAAAACTATCCCTTAATTGAACTAGTCTATTCAAATCACACGATAAAAACATAACAATTTTGCGGATAAGAAGGAGATTAACAGAGAAGCCCCAATCACGCAAATCATTTGTTCTGACTGTTCAGGTGATTGATGATAGTTCTAGTTTATGAGAAAGCATGACTCTTTTTATATTTCTCAATAGATAGTGAAACAAAGTAATTGTACTGAAAAACCTTAACCGAGGACCTCTTCTATATTTTCCTAAATTATCAAACAACAGTTCCTCGTCGTTATTTTAAAAATCGGATAATGGTAAAGTAAAAACAATATTGTCCGTTATTGACTATCAAAAACTGGAGCCTTAATTACTAGAAACAACATCATGGTACTTGGCAGATATACAATGTGAAAAAAAACTAATCAAGCATATAAATCTGAAAAAAATACAACACCGACAACTACTTGACGGATATTTCAGAGACACATTTCACAGAATAAGTGAATATAAATTAATATTGGATACGATAAACTCTTAATACCGATAACAATATTAGTTATAATAGTTCTTTCAAAATAGATAAACTTTACGTCTTAAGAACTTAACGTTGATATAAAAAAATTAATTAGTTTATGAACTATTCATCACAAAATATAAATTCCAGCTTTATTATCATACAGAGATTCACTTCGAATAAGTAATAAAAACGATCAGGTTTGAAAATCAATAGAGCGAACAAGTCAACCAGAAGCCGAAAAAACTAAATCAGGATCGTGCTTTTCAATAATAAATGTAAATGAAAATTAATAATTTCCTATGAGTTCATATACTAGGAAGTACGCTAAACTTATTATTTGCAAAATAAAATAGAAATGAATAGGAATTCAGTCTTACGAAACAATATAACAAACCAAAAGAACTAAATAAGTCATATGTTGATTCGCATTTTTATAAAAACAACTACAATAACTATTCAATTAGCTAATGTCATCCCAACATTTCTATCGAACATAGCCTCTTTCCTTTTCGGAAGACACGAATTCCAGTTACAATCGTTCAGTCTTTGTTTCGTATTTTAACTAAATTGTCCAAACGTTTAGAAGAATGTTACAGTGGCTGGACTGCAACTCATACCACAACAAAAGAGCATAATACTATACATCTAAGTCATTGTATCATATATCCTCTATAACAAGACGATAACAAACTTTATCCATCCAGAATATAAATAAAAGGATATATATAGCGTAGTTTTGGTAAACAGAGCAACTTACATTCACGTGTGATATCTGCTAAATGAGGAACTACTTCTGGAGGTGTACCATTAAATACAGATAGATTACGTTTTTCAGCACATTCTAGGTCCATACAACCTTCTGTACAATCCACAGTCCCAGGAGGACATCGACTGATACCTAATGCATCCAAAGTGTACAGGGCTAAGTCTCTTTACCGTAAAAAAAACAAGTTGGAAGAAAAAAATTTGATCAATATAACCGTTAACGTTACCAGTAGTATTAAGCAATATCCCAAAATCTGTAAGTCAATATAATTATTTTAGAAATTACCAGATACCAAATAATCAAAAATAACTTACTGTAACAAACAATAACTGATGTCTATTTCTAATACGATCTTTGTCACGAACTGATATCAGTTGATGAACCATTACAAAAACAAAGAGTTATGAACACTTGTTCAATGTTAGTTTAGGGACTGACTCCTCAACGATAAGCATCTATAACCTAGACAGGAAACGAAACCACAATTTCCAAACCTCCAACTCAGGTCATTGAGTTAGAATCCAATAGTTTACAGTTTAAACTTACGATATTACGAGAAAAACCATTCCTATAAACGATATATGGTACACTTTCAGCCTGTTTGAAATTTATCCATTAAAGCTTGTCATTCGAACTTAAAGACATTTTCTCGATACTAATCATATTTCTTTACAACAATTGTATGAAAACTAATTGCCCAACATGGTTGTGAGCGCCCTTAAGTATGATCAATTAACAAACAAAAGAAATACACGAAAGAAATGACAATAGAATACACCACTGGTGATAAATTATTTACGTTTGGACTATCATAAACAAGGATTGATTGAAGACTGTAATACATTAAAATAATAAGGAATGGATCTCTATCGAAATCAAGAAAGGAAGAACAAGAAGACAGCAATTAACAACAGCCGAAGAGGAACAGAGAAAATCAAGGCACAGGCTGAACAAACAGAGGAAAACAAGCTAATGAAGAGGAGCATTAGAGCCGACTAGCAGAAATATGTGGAAGAGAGAGCATTCCTACAATTGGAGAACTTATGGAACTCAAAACAACTGTCAACCAGTATCAAAGTAAGAGTCTTCAATACGAAAGTTGAGACAGTCCCACTGTACGGAGACGAAACTTGGAGAACTACTACAACCATCATCAAAAAGGTACAAGTATTTGTAAACAATTGTCTACGTAAGATACTCAATATCCGTTGACCGGATACCATCAGCAACAGCCTACTGTGGGAGATAATAAGCCAGCTTCCATCTGAAAACGAAATTAGGAAAAGATGATGGAAGTGGATGGGAGATAAATTGCTGAAGTCATCAAATCGCATCACGATGAAATCGCTAAATTGAAATCCTGAAGGGGAATGGAAAAGTGGTAGGCCCAAGAACACACATTGAGTCAGGAATTGGAAGCAGACATGAAAAGGACGAATAGCAACTGGAAAGGACTGCCCAGGACAGGGTTGGATGGAGAATGCTGGTAGGCGTCCTATGCTCCTGCACGAGGGGTAACAGGCATAAGTAAGTAATATAGGTTTTATTCTAACATGAATATTTAGCTCAACTAAGGATACTTGTGAATGACCTAGTTTCATTTCCACTCTTATTAATTAGATAGACATTTTTTAAAATTTTTTTAAAAGAGGAACGAAACAAAGAGTAATTAGCTTGAAGATTTCAACATTAATTATATTTAAAATAATAATAATAATAACGACAATGAAAATATGAAAACCAACTAGAATTATATTATTTCGTTTTATTCTAATTAAGGAAGATTTTATGTAAATGAACATAGAAAATAGCACTTGAATAGATTATATTATATTGAACCCATTGAACAGTAAAATTATTTATTCATCGTAATATTTATAAAATGAGAAAATAAGGGTAACTCACTATCAAATAGAAAGATCAACTTAAACAACTGTAAACTTGGTAAAAGCAGAATGTAATGGTTTAAATGAGCTGTTAAAAATGTTAATAATAACAACTATTATATCATAGAAAATTGTTTTTATTTCGTAATAATTATAATAAATCTTTGAATTTGACCACATCTGAACATTTTATCCCCAAACATTAAGGAAAATTCTCTGCTTAGTTATTTAAATAGAATTGACTCTTTTGTTAATTTTATATAAATGTACTGTTGAGAACTTTGAATAGAAAAAAAGCAAACTAAGGAGTCTTGGTGATTACAGTTAGTTATATCATTTTCAATAATAAAAAACAACCCTTTATTAGGTTTTGTAGCTTAAACAAACCCACGCCTAACAATACTTGTATTTTTCGACATTAGTATAGTATTCGTGTCTGTCAATCGACAGGTTTTGTGGTATCATTTGACACTAAAAAGCATAGTAAAGAAGTACATACACTCTATGAAGGTTTTACACATGAACATGAATGATTGAATCAAAGCTTATGGCGAACTGCCATTAAAATTGACAACATCAAATGGTATTTCTCAAAACTTCCCACTTTTCTCACCCTTAGTTAACTTTTTTCTGAAAGTCTTTCAGAGATAACGCTTTTGTTATGACTTTTCAGTGACCGATTTTCTTGCCAGTATACCAACATAATATAATCCTGTCTGCAAGGAAGATGACAAAATACAGTGTTCTGACCACTTGAGTCGATAATGCGATTATGTTTAGGGTGCATTTCTTTCCCCATAAATGTGAAACGTTACTTCAGGGTGAGTCTATGACAACGCTGTTGTAACGTGTGGACTGCAGGTTAGATGCGCAGAGTATTTATCGATCGATCGCAGTGACACGTAAAACACGTAAGGATGACCTAGAGTTCCGATTGGTCCCGCTTCCCTGTCTAGCCCAGCCAGTCGAATCTAGAACGCAAGTCACAGCATCTGAGTTATGAATCATTGTATTTCAGACATATTCTGTTTATATACCAACCAAACAAACCACATCGTACCATAAAATAGAAAACAACATTTACACAATATTTAACAAGTGAAATAAATATCGACCAATAGGAAACGTCCGTTTAAAATCCAAGGACACCACTCGACTTAGCACGGTAATTATTGGTATATTCCTCTGCATACCTAACAAACGCCTAAATGAATGGCAGGGAGTGAAGTAACTGAGTGCATCGACAATTTTATCCTGGTCGGATTATCAGTTTTGGTGGGTAGGTGTCTGATTCTCTCTCGGTACAAGTTCAAAAATCTCGATCGGCTTTTGTCAACTTCTTTCACCTATAGCATAGGCGAGATATCAATCTTTCAAATAGATTATGAATATACTGCGCAACAGCTTATTTCTTTCTACCTTTAGAAATAGAGATTTGTAGATTAGTAGTACTTAGCTTATAGATGTCTTTGGAGCATTAGTAGTCCATGTTGAGACCATCGGATGAGGGATGTTGAGGCCATATACAGAGTAGTTTATAAAGATGGAGTATCAGTCTATGGGGTAGTGAATCCTCATCGACTGAATAGAATATTCATTACTTAGGCTCAAACGTCTTCTGTTAAGAAATCAAACATTTGCTTATATAGGAAGTTGAAAGATAGTTAGGAGCGGCCGAACCAATATGTAACATCGGTCCATGAAATCAATAACAGATGAACTGAGCCGTGCAGGTAGATGCAAACCACTAGGTCGGAGTCTTCATAATCATAGTAACCAATGCTCGAATGACATGGCCGAGAATCATTTATCATTCACAACGATTAAATGTTTATGTTAAAATACCATATAGTTTATACTTAGTTTCCTTTATTACCACTGATAGTTACTACTTGTTGTTGTAATAATTTTATCACGTTGTGCTAATAAGGTACGGCAACTTTAATCGATTCACATACATACAAAGTTTTAAACAGTTTATGAATTATTGAAATAATTGATAGAACAAAAGAAAACTGAAGTACAATGTTTATACGTCAACACAATGGAAGCAAATAAAAATCTAATTTTTGGCACAGACTTTAACAATGAATTTAAAAATAACCATAAACTATTTTTTCAATACTAATTCACCTCTGAAGTAAATCATAGTGACCCAAATAACCTGATATCTGCAGTTTGTATAATCACGATACATAAATCTGAACGCTATGATAGTTATAAACAAAGAGATTGCTATCTACATAATGTGTTAATATATATGCATATTATGAACAAACTTTAAATGTGGCTATGAGAGATAATATAATCAAGGACTTAATTAATTGCTATTTTATCCACTTTCAAAATATTTTTTTATTTGCTTTTTAATTATTACTTATTGAATTCCAAAAATATATATCAACTGTTCAAATCCATAGTTATCACAATGTATTGATCAATTTTTGAGTTCTATGTGGCCAATGATTTAACCTCGCTTTACGTATTCTAGATCTTATTGTGAGCCTTAACAGAAAAGTTAAACTAGAATAATATCTTGCATAGTCTAATACTATCATAACATTAACTTTTTCTCAAAATATTTCGTTCATTTTCTTATTAAATATTATGTAATCTAACAACCGTTTGATTACATATTTTTAACTATTAAAAACGATTACTCTGCTTATTATGATCCTTATTCTTCGAATTATTCAGTTAGTCATTCGATATTACTTGCATAATCACATCGAATTATATAATTATTATTTGGCACCATTAAGGTTTTATTATTAGCTTTTCCAGACTTTAACTCATGTGTTACTCAAAAATACCATCAGTAGTATCCATATGATTCGATTTCGTGATTATCCATGCACTTGTAAAACTATATCAGCTGATAAGTGAATCGAAAAGTGATGATCAGTTTTTTATTGTATAAAATTTAAAGAATTTATGGAATTAAATATACATGAATATAAATATATCATAAATTATTGTCGTGTTTCGAAATATTAAAAAAAAAGAGATCTTCTACGTAGTGTTTTGTCAACTAAAAAGATAATAAGAATCATTCAGATTACCGATAAAAAGTAAAACTCTACTTGAGATCATTATTATTATTATTATTATTATTATTATTATTATTATTATTATTATTAGGACTAATCATGTGCTTTCTACACTTCTGAGATACTCTAAGTAAATTTTGGCTAGTTTAACATCAGAATTATTATTTCATGCTTAAATTGAACATTTTGAGCAATTTTTATACAATCGAGCCACATGATACAAGATTGTTGCGTAAAATTAATCTGAATGTATTTTTTTTGGCATGAATTGATGTTATCTTTAACAAAAAATGAACCATTGTAAACTATCTACTTGATATTGTTTTACTTGAATCTTCCCATTGATATTTTAGGACTGAAATTGATCAGTCTCTTATTGGCATATGTGCATACTGTGCGTATGCCTCGATATTGCTTTAACTTACAAGCATTATAAGCAAAGATGGATAGTGGCTAGCAGTGGAATCCAGGATGCACGTTTCGTCCTGTTTGGGACTCGTCAGCTGGATGTACTTGCATCTCAGAGTTGATGTTCACTCTGGGACTCGAACTCAGTACCGTTCGCTTCAAACGCCATCGCGTTATCCACTTAGCCACTGAGTCTTGATAGCCACTTGCTTGTGCAATGGGGTTAAGTTTAATTCACTTGATATTGTTTTACTTGATGTTTTAGGACTGAAATTGATCAGTCTCTTATTGGATAACGCGATGGCGTTTGAAGCGAACGGTACTGAGTTCGAGTCCCAGAGTGTACATCAACTCTGAGATGCAAGTACATCCAGCTGACGAGTCCCAAACAGGACGAAACGTGCGTCCTGGATTCCACTGCTAACCACTATCCATCTTTGCTTATAATCATTGTATACTATAATGTATTTGTTAGATTTGTAATTTTAATTTACATGAGAAGCTATAACGACGTTTTATAATAAGATAAGGATAAAAAATTAATTGCTTAATAATAATAACTAACGTTTTGGTTTTCAACAGTTTTCTAGATTTTGATTTTATTTCATAACAAAAACTACTTCAAAATTGTACGACATTTTTACTTAATGATCATTTTAACATTAACTATATATTAATGCATAGTGAACAAATTTGAATAATTAATTAACCATGACGAAAAAGTTTGATTACATACAATGAATAAGCAATTGAATTATAACACAATTACAAAATTATTTTTACCAGTTAACAATCAAATGATACACACTAGTACAATGAATACATAAAACAAGATATATATTTGAAATCAGTCATAAATTCTACATAATATTTGTTTCGAAGTAATCACTACAAAAATATGTTTAATACAAATTACATCTTATGAGTGATATGAACTAAGTGTAGAACCAGTAAGAAATAAATCTCCGGTTCGTTCCCGGGTTCCGGAACCGGCCCCCAAATGCCCTGGTACGTTCGAAGGCGGGGAGGGTCAACTCTCCGTCTCGAAACGCTCTCACATGGCCACGCGTATACAGCCACTGCCAGGGAAGTCTTACTCACTGCCTTCTGGGGAAGGGGGTGGTGTCTACGAAATTGAGAGGACGAAAAGCGAATGTCCGGAGTATACTTACAACTTTAATAAAAGAATAGATAGAACTCTTATGGTAAGATATTGTTTGATTTAGTAAATAATTTAAAATAATGTAAATCACATTCACCTTATGACTGCTATCGATTAAATACAACACCATTATGGTTTGGACAAACCTTAATAAAAATGATATTTATAAAAACACGTTACTTAATTGGCGTATTGATACACATTGTTAGCAGGATAAGATTGGGCTAAAGCATGTTTCATCCAGTATTATATAGGAGCGAGCTGATTGGCTCTTTCCTAACCAATCAGGGCTAGCGGATAATCGGGGAAAACTCTAGAAACTTATTATGTAAAATTATAGATATACTAATGCTTTTCTTACTGCGATTCACTACCATTCAACTTGGTTTGTTTGGAATATAATCACGCACCTGTTCAAACTATGTTCTGATTTTGAGGACTAGTCGTGTGAAGTAATGTTTGAAAAATACTCAGCGATAAGGGTAGCTGGGGTCGGCTGACAAAACATTTAACACACATGAAACAGTATTTACTAAGGATAATTAAATAGGGAAATATACAAAGAGGCAACAAAACTTTGCGACTGTTTTCAATTCCACAGTAACCACGATCTATCAAGCAAAAAGAGATCAGAAATTTGACACGTAACTCTCGACTTCCTAGATGTTTTCGAGAAGCTTCTACCCAAAACTGATTGCACAAAATGTCTTCTAGTGTTTTCAGCATTCCCTTGGACTATTCTGAGTAATATTTTGTATCCCCCCAACACCTTTCAACAATAAGGCTTTATCTTTGGGTCTAATTTCCATAACAACGACACAAAAAATAAATGAGAACTAGACTGTAGCTTATGTAAATAAAACTGTTTATGGAACACAGAACAACAACAAAATGGCCTTGAGAGACTTCAGCTACTTAATAGGCTCATAATAGGGTTATGAATAAAGGCGTTATCTTAAATCTCATTGGCCCATATGTGGATTATAGTTCCGCCCCAAAACGCTTATATATTACACTTTATCTGAAAAATGTGTTTAGTATAAACAAGAAAGTTTTACCACTGTTAGTGTTAAAGAATCTATCATTGATTTATTTTATAGCAACTTGAAAAGATTTCGTAAGTAAACAGAAAATGTATTTACTTAAAATCTTATTACAGATAATAACGTGAAAAGTGGAAAAATGCAAAATTCTTAAGAATATTTCCATGGATATTGAGTAATCTTAAAAGATATTATTAATTAGTTAAACTTACCGATCAGGTGAAGGTACATAACTGAAAATTTATAGCAACAAAAATGAAAAAAAAGATTAGCACTAAACTCACTATTCATGTTTTATTACGAAAAATCTGTACTGAATGACATAAAAACACTGATTTTATTGATAACCAAATTATGATAAAGTGTAGGTATAATTACCAAGATTTGACTTGATAATTTCGAATAAATTGATCATTGGGTAGATTGTTATAAATAAAATAATATATTTGTAGCATCCCAACGAGTAGAAAAATTAGATTTTCTGACGTTTCGTGACTCGATCCAAGCTATTTCTTCAGAGAACAACTTACCAAATCAAAGTTAATCCGAGTTTAAATAGTACAAAGTAACAATGCAAGATATAATATTTCTGCATTGTTCCTTTGTACTATTTAAACTCGGATTAACTTTGATTTGGTAAGTTGTTCTCTGAAGAAATAGCTTGGATCGAGTCACGAAACGTCAGAAAATCTAATTTTTCTACTCGTTGGGATGCTACAAATATATTATTTTATTTATGATAAAATGGTATATAATTGAATTGTTATTACTATGAAATCAAATAAGAAAGCACTGCGAATAGACTGTGTCAATTTCACTTTGGATCTTCTTCATTAGTCCACATCTTTTTATCCCACAAAAGATAGTACTCAAAGCATTGTGGTATCACTCAATTTAATTGTGATATGGTGTGAATATTATTTAATAACACCCACTTATGAGTTGCTTGGTAATGCAAGTGGGTCATGGACTCGTAGCAAAACTTTGAGAGATCATGAAATAATTTAGTAATCATTATAAACAAGTAACTTGACTGAACTGTAAATAACAATCCAAATTATAAAAGACTATTCTTAATAATGATAGCTCTCGGAATTTTAAGTAAGATAACCAAATACAACTTCAAGATTTTGTGACAAGTAATATGCGATTTTTCAATAAAAATATACATCATGCTTGAAAAACCGACGTTTGTTTCAAACAATCCTAATTAGCAATGTGCTGATTTGTAACAATCATGCCATTTAACTATTTTCTATCTTTCCCATAGACACTATAGTGCAATCGAAAATATTATGAAGGATTAGCGTAATTAACTGCATATTCATCCGTTTACTTAAATCCCTAATTTATTTAAATGGTGATAGCTTCTTTATAGTAAAAATCTCATACTTCGCATTGACAACAAAAACATGCAAAATTTGTAAATAAGAGTACTTTCATTTCTCAACGGAGAAGACTCATATTTCTTCAAGAAAAATGAACTATACATGTCCACATATTTCAATGAATTGGAAAATAGGCCTAAATATATGATAAAGTGCCTTGTGGTTTAACACATTTGAAAGGTAAACACAGGTTAAGGAATTTATTATCTAGATTGCTAAATATTACCAATAATCACATCACACTCTAAAGTTAGAGTAAGACTGAACACATAGTTTAAAAAAGAATAAAAATGATCAATAAGTCAATGTAGGCTTACTTCTAGACGTAGTCAAACAGAAGGTAATATAAGGAAATCATTTTCTTTAAAATTAGTCGTTAATTGCATTTAATATAATACAGCCTAATTCAGACAAGTCAGCTACATTTCCGCTAACCTTTGCTTAATAACTGTAGTAAACGGAGGAAATATTTATTAATTTATCTCTTACTATGGAAAATCTTACCCCCAAATCCCTTGGAACGACCGAGTGTGAGAAGAGATCGCTCTACATCTCGGTTTGGGCCTCTATGCAGTATCTCAGTCTAAACTCGAACTAAAGGATTTTTGTGTGGTGCATATATATTTGGTGGCCCCGTGTATAAATATCCATATATTAAAATAATAATATTGGGAAAACTAGGCAAAAAATATCAACTAAGTTAGCACTGTGCCCATATGCCTAACGCCAAAAAGAAATTTCGTCTACGTGACAAAAGATCATCAAGTTCTTTTACCTCAGTAAAGTTACCTGGATTACATTTTCAGGACCTAAACAAACGAATCCCAACAGCGCGATATGAAAGCCTGACCACCACATCAAAGTAGCAGCAACAGTCGGTATGTTAAGGACTGGATTTGACCAAACTTTGTTGAGACATGTGCATCTAGAGTGAGTTGCTTTGATGTTGACTTTAGTTACAAGTTTTAACAAATTTAAATTATGATTGGTGGTATAAACCAAGATGAGCGTTATGTGTTCTCATACCCATTGAACAAATAAACAGTAAACTGAACATAGCAGCTCAATGAATAACGTGTGAAGAAAAAAGGTAATAGGTTTGAGTATCAGTGTAAACATCAACTCTAGGAACCAGATGATGAGTCCAAAATAAGACAAAACGTGCGTCTTGAATTTTACTGCTAGCTACATTAATCATGCTTAGCAACAACTACAATGATTTGAATTTATCTAATAACTTAATTTTTAAATTAAAATTCTTTTTAACCGTGTTAAAGAAAGGTAAATCCTCAACGCTACTTAACACAGAATTATAGGTGAAGATACATAGAAAAATCAAAAACATTTCTCTTTAGTCAATTACCTAATACATAGACTCATCAATAATTATTTTACGCTTAGTATGAAAGCAATATAAATATATAAACTAAGCTTCAAGAAACATCGTAAATTAAGAAATCAAGTAATTCACAACTCACTAATGATTTATTTTTAAAAGAAATAGTCTCTGACCTAATACCGTATGCTAGATAACAGGAAAAAAATGATGTTGAGGAGAAATACTCACAAAACGAAGCTATGAAATAACAACAGCTGGATTATGATTGCAAAAGTCACCAAACAGAGTAATTACAACAAACCGTATTTTCAACTTTGAATGTAGGTTCAACGAAGAAAATGCATATTACTTGATTTACGAAAATAACTCAGTTAATGACCAGTATATCAGTTTTATGGAACAAATTTCAATTCAAAATAATGCATGATCAAAATTACATCAAAAGCAAAAACAAGAAAACTGATTACACAGTAATCAATATTTCTAATAGAAACAACTTTAGAAAACTATCGACGAAATGACTTCAAACTCACCTCTCAGCATTACAACATAATAAATGTCGACAACTGTGCTGATTACTGTTTAGAGCATAAGGATCCGCTTCAAATGCCAATAATGCACGAATAATATGAATCGATGCATTATACTGAAAAAGAAAAAAAGTGATATTCACGCATGAATGTATGTGTATATGTATTGAAATCTCGTGAAAAACATTTAAAATGGAATAGAAGAACATGAACCTAAATAAAACAGATATATATACAATGATTTGTCTATTTACCCATACTTTTTCCCACATTATTTATTAACGTCGTGATTTGATCTAGAATTGAACAAATACTAGTGACTTCATCAATTTTGTTTATTTATAATGACCATTACTAATCAGATGTTTGACTACTGACGATCTCTCTCTCTCTCTCTGTCTGTCTATATATATATATATATATATATATATATATATATATATATATATATATATAACCTCGGTTTTGAGGTGAGGATAATGCCTTTAAACTGTATTAGTTAAAATCCGAAAATCTTGAAACTAATAGAAAATCCACGACTAATGAAAAACACTTCATCTGGAGCAATGTAATAACTTGCTGACAACATTTAATGAGGATCGTGTTATCTTATAAACTGATTATAATTGAAAATATAGAATACTGAATTCCCATTTCGTAGTCTAAGAATACGAAATACGTGATAAATGGTATGTACAGGGTCAGTGAAAAGTCGATTAGTTGTCTGAGTACCGAACGAGAAGTAATTAAATTTGATGCACCTAAGTTGTGAGTATATCTAACAATGAATTTATTGATATAAATACTACTAGGTGTCACATTATTGTCCATAATTAAAATAAAAACAATAAAGCTTACAGTCATGGCATAATGTAAAGGAGTTGCTCCACTAGCATTACGTAAATTTGGATCAGCACCACGAACTAATAAGGCCAAAACATCTTCGAAATTATTATCGCGTACTTTCATATGTAAAATAGTCAATCCTAAATCATTGCGTGCATCTAAATTAGCTCCAAGTTCACACAGTCTTTCAAAGATCTATAGATCCAAAACAAAAAAGCAAATAATTTTTATTTTCAAAAAAAGAAGGAACTAAATTTAATTAGTCAGAAGAAGAATACTGATTTATTACCAAATATAATTTCTCCGACAGATAACTGTAATAATAATAAAATAAAATACCGATCACTTTATTCACCACAACCATTACTTTAGTCATGTAAGCAACACAAATATTAGACAATCGTTTTATTATTAATCAAAATATAATACCATAATAGAATTGATTGTTTTCTTATAAAAACAGATAAGGTACAAAATCGAAATATTATTCTTTCATTTTAAAAAAGAAAAAAATCAGTAAACTGATGACAGCGAAACTCACTGACGACACTGGTTTAAATCAAAACATTGTTAAAAACTAGGAAGCATCGGATAGTTGTTTTGTTTCAGTATGGGGACCCTTCTTTAATGTGTATTTATGACTTCTATTACAGATAAAGCTGAGGACCTTCAGACCCTGTAATGATCATTTAACCTATAGATCAATGAGTTGGTACTTTAATGATTTACACATCCAACTCGAATCATTTTCGCAATATTGTATGACCACCACTCATTTAGTCAATCTGTAATGTAAAACTATAAAATTTAACGACCACCATCCTATACTAAGATGCGATAATATTGGATGAATATGAAAGACCCGGTAGCATAAAAAAAATCGAAGTATTCAAATAAAACATTCCAAATAAATTGAAAATTAAGAAGTAATTAATGCATCAATGAAAATCTACCATATTACTGATGCAGTAGCAAAAATTAAAAATGTATTAGTAGCAACAGTCTAAATGATCACATCTCACATAATTTATTAAGCTGCCTGATTTATAATCCTAATCACATTGTTGATTTAAAGAAGAATAGGCTTTCTTCGACAGTCTAATAGATATTTTTTTATAATCCACGATTTAAAGATTTTATATGTATTTGTCTTCAGTAAAAAGTTGGCTTAAGAATCAGTTTTGACAAAAAGTGAACAACAAAAAGAACACATTACATAGAAGCTTAATTATATAAATTTATTGTTTTCAAATAATCTTTAAGTATCTAGTCATAGATTATACGTGTATTTAGTCATATTTATTGTGTGATTTTTATTTAGTCATTCATTCAAGGAATTTTCAGTGAAAAAGAAAATTCAGTAAATCCAGTTTCATGTGAAGTCACTAGATCACAATCTAGCATATTTTATTATCAGTTGATTAAGATTCAGTTAGTTATTATAACGCTATACAAATTGTATTTGTTAATAATTTCAAACATCTAGTCAACAACACTTTCTTTTACTAAACATTTTATTATTTTTTTCTTTGAACTATTAAGGAAGAGTGTCTATATATTTGAATAGATTTACTTCTATGTGATACATCGATTTTTGTTTCTGAGTATCTAATGTCAACAATATATCATATATCGTTTATGTTTATAACATTGGATGATGTACAGAATATTATGAATGCTTAGATAAAACTCTTTATATTTTATAACTTGAATTGTATGGAATAAACAACATAGAATACAAAAGAACAATGCTTCTGGTTAGGGTTGTAACATACTTTTCAATATTACAGATAAGAATGTGAACTTTAAGGAAAAGTTATTCAGTCAGTTATTATGGACATACAGCCTGACGCAGATGAATGTTGATACAACTTTCTACTTCATATTACATAGTAAGATAAAAATAACAAGATGAATAGTTAAAAAAGGTCGAAATGACGAAAAAAATCCTATTCAGGTTTTCCAGCAGTAAGCTATTATGAAGAGGGTATTAATCAACATATGCTCACTAGTGATTGGCTTCAAGAGGTATATCCTGGAGTTCTAGTGAGAAGCAGTGACCAATGGAGTTCAACCAGGTCTGTTGTGAGATAGTAACTCACTGAAGACAATGGTGGATGTGTCGATCGATTTCGTGGATTAGTTGAAGTTAGACATTAACACCGTTGGATGCCGGCTCAGTGGTCTAGTGGTTAAGTGCTCGCGCACGAAACCAGTAGGTCTTGGGTTGGAATCTCGCAGGGGGCGAGGTCGTGGACGCACACTGCTGAGGAGTCCCACAATAGGACGAAACGGCCGTTCAGTGCTTCCAGGTTTTCCATGGTGGTCTAGCTTCAACTGACTAATGATCTTAACCATTGAAATTATTATGAAAAGGTTAGTAATTTGATGTACAAATTGAAACATTTGACTATAAGAGTGAATTATGGTGAAATATCAATTAGTAAACATGTCATGAATATTGAAAGAAAAGCGATTCAAAATTATGCATAAAACTGAAACTATATGTCTAGAAAATGACAAATTGGATATATTTTTTTAACATAAACCTACGGACTTTTTTTAATGACAACATCTTTACTCTTTTAAAAAGAACAGTGAATATTAATTTATTGATTATATATATTGACAGTTTAAGTAATAAAAAACCAAATTCATGCAACAAGAAAAGAAAAATCTTATGTTTATGATGAAAACTAGACAAATGCTAATCTACACATAATACTCATAAATTGTATGCAAGGAATCATATGGAGTTAATGCTTATTTATACAGTGGCATATTCACCTGAAAAGCAACCTTAAGATGATAACACAAGCTAGATTTTTACTCAACACATATATATATATATATATATATATATATATATATATATATATAAAATACAGAAATACAGAGAAAAAACGTACTAAATGATTTTACTTCAAACAAAGTTTTAATGTGGTAGTATTGAAAAGTTTAATACAGCCAGATTTTTTATTATGATTAACTAACAGAAGACTAGATGCTTAAAACTACAAAAAATTGCTGGGTTTTTTTAAGCAACACACAAACGCGTAGTTTTGTAAGGTCATTTTCATTGTGTAAAAACCAACAAAGAAATGAATTACATGACTTGGTAAGATCATCATCGATAATGAGAAAAGTTCAATACAAAGATAACTGAATTAACAAAATAGTATTTTTAAAGGTAGACCCAGTTACAAAACATAGACGAACTTTCATAAGGAAGTTAGAAAGCCTTAGTTATGTATACATCAAGTGAACTGTTACAATCCTGTTTATTATGTAATGTTTCATATAAGTATTTAAAAAGTATCATTTAATATGAGAAAGTTGTTTACCAGGACATTTAGCCATAATATTTTTAACCGCTAGACTAATAACATGTCAAAAGTTTAAAAGCCGAAAAAAATCACATTAATGATTTCAAAAAACGTACTTTTGACATGCATTTTGTCGACTATAGAGAACAAATACGACAAACTATTCTTTAAAAATATTTTACCATACTATAAAATCAAATTTAATACAACTGATTAGTGTTATGTTAGATTCTAGTCAGTCAGTTAATTCTGGACACCATAGCTGCTGGGCAAAATTTATATTAGCGTAATAACAGAAAAATAACATGAATATAAACAGAAGTAGTATCAGTGATAATAAGAAAACTGAACACAGAGACCTTAATGAGAAAAAACCAATGGAATTGTGGAACGAATCGGATGAATAACATTAAAAATGAGAAGAAAGTTAAAGAATGACTACATCATCGCAACTGCGATTGATTTCGTACAAAGTTATCTAACACTTCCAAACCTTATAGTGCGATTACAATGCAAACCTTAACAGGGAAGTTTGAGGCTCGTTAATCACCTCACTCAGACAGTCAATGACTTCATGTCTTGATCTAATTAGTGGTAAACGCTTCATAACCTACTCATGTTAACCAATACTGCAGAAAGCAATAGAGGGTGACTGGGCAAATGAACCAAATATAAATCATACCATTCAATGGAGAAAACAGCATTCAAGGGAGCTTAAACTATACACCGATTATCGCGGTACGCAATGCTGACTAGTGTTGGAGACAAATAGAAGAACGTTAGGGGCGGCCAAATCAGAACGTCGCATCAGTCCTTGAAGTCACTAACTTCTAGTCTGAGTCATGTTGTAGATGCAAACTACTCGGTTGGGGTCCGCCCAACAATCGTAACCGATGGTCGCAGACTTTGCGTGACATGGCTCAAAACCGACCACAATGGCGTAGTTGTATACACTCTTTGTCTTCCTTTAAACTATAAGATTAAAATTGTTTTATATCTTTCTTTCTACCAACTAATTCTTACTTTCTGTACCATATCAATATATGCAATCTTTTTTTTATATATTACCACCATTGAATTAACTATTTCTATGAATTCGGTGTTCATCTTGTTATGCTAATGAGGTGTGGCAACTTGGACCGATGCAAATATGTGCCTGGTCCTACGTTGTAGCTGACTGACTATTAACGAAGAATTTACTATATATTGTGAATAAGTCATATCGACTAAGTATATATAATTGACATAACACATATAACCTTACATCAGTAAAATTAATTTTCAACATGTTTATTTAGATATTTTTCTTTATACATTTTGTATTGATTTTTAAATATGATGTGATATCTAGGACTAATTAACAGTAACGATCAATTCATCATCATGAAATTTTCAACAGTATAAGCACCCAGTACAGATTAAGAAAACTTTTTAAACAATATGATGAAATACATAAAAAAATCCAGGCAGGCACTATCCATGAAAACAATGATTAAACACATGTTTTAAAATTCTTTAATTATGCACAACTTATGTGATAAAAAACGGGAGGTATATATATTCGCGTTGTTACATTTGCATTAGCACATAATGATAAAACTAACAAAAATGGAAGAATATTAGCATTCACACGGATGTACCCCGATGAAAGAATACGTCAGCTTGAAAATGGTCTTGTAATCTTAACCTTTATCAAGGAAAATAATACGAAGGCATACAAGCTGCCTTAAATACAAATATAGAATAGTAATACATGTGTATAGAACAATTACGATATCTAGGTGGTGGATTCAAACCCGATATGACTGAGGAGAATCGGGCCCAGTAGTCATCCTAATTTGATTGTAGAATGAGTGACCTAAGGAACTCTTCAACTAAGTTTGTTTCTTAAATCACATCAAATTACGCATATCTTTAATTTGATGTTTTGTATATAAGTGTCATTTTACTAGAAGTAAACGTATTCTACTCTCGAATCACCATATCCTTGTACATCAGCTCATTTGGCTTCTTACATCTATAATTTGATGTCATAAGAAGTCATCAGTTAGCCATATCGTATGGTATATCAAATAGCGTTCTGTACGTCATTTTAAAAATACTGAAATGTGCATAATCGTCATCGCTAGAACCTGTAGAACTCTCCTTCAAAACAGAACCCTACTGCAGTAAAAAAAACTTTTCTGGTGAGTAACTGACAAGGGCAATGATATAACTAATTTTACTAGCTCTCGAATGAGATGGCCAATAATGAATGGTCTATTATAGTATTAATAAGTTTGCTACTTAAACAGCTGTTAATAATGTCCTAAGCGCTTCCTAGAACCCCAGACTACTACACTGAAACTCAAATACATAAAATCCAAGTAAACGATTTACTTCAAGACTAATCTATGTGCAGATAATGGAGTGTATAAGTTTTTAGATGACCTTGATCTTCTAGGAACTTCCGAAAAACTACTATATGTAGCACCAGACTAGGTAATTATCCGATCGAAATGTGATACATACTCCTTTACTTTTCTGCATGCTTCTGAGAAACATCCGTTCAATACTGATAGAATAAAACGTTTTTAGTCACTATTTCGGCTTCCGGGGACTTTATCGAAGGATATTTGTGAACCCTCAACAAATACCTTTACAGTAATCTCATTATCTTACTTTTGCATTTTTGTAAGCCATTGTGAAGTGTTTACAAAAACAATAGCGAAGTTGCCACACACTTGTCTCATCACGTGATAATTACATAGATACATATATATGTTGGATTTAAACATCATATTATAAACCTCTAATAAGTAATTTTTTAGAAATTATTACATTTTAGAAAATGTATCGTCAGTCCGAACAAAAACAACCAGAACTGATGAATAAGAATTTACTTATATTGTACACAACTTCTGAATAAAGTTGACTAATTAGAAAACGATTTAAAAAACAAGTAGCTTTAGTTAAATGATACTAATGACGTTTAAGGCTGACAAAAAGTGTTGGGAAATAGGGAATAATATGAAGACAATATGAAAATCCGATTAATTATTATAACATTCAACATTCATTTAAAAAATACTTTGGGGAATTTAGTCTTGAATATATTTTTCTCAAAAAGTCACTTAGAAATATTATACAGGACTAGCATATTATGTTTGTTTACATACACCTATAGCTAACCGTCGTCACGGTAATAAACAGCTTGTTCGATATTCATCTTCAGATTATCTTGAGTGTACAAGAGAGAATTCATTTCTCTACTGACATAGTGAAACAACATGTTTGGAAGTACAAGATATAAGTAGAGTGTAGCGTACTTACAGCTGATACTAAGCATAATGTACCAGATAAGTATGGGATAAGTGCCAAGCATCACCAACCACAAGCTACTTCATGTGTTGTGTAAAGTGGTGTGGAATTAAGTTGGATAAAAGCTGTGAGTGGACAGAACAAGAAAGCGTACTTTCATAAAATTATTGACTTAAGGTGAACAATGTAACAATGGATGTACGCTTTTTGATTGGGGTTCGGTAGACGAACGTAAGCTACGTTCAAAGACTTTAGATGGCTCAAAATTGATACCAACTTTTCAGATGCACTCAATTTTTTGGCTTCTTCTAAGGATGAAACATAATACAATTGTACATACCTCACTGTTTATTTTTGATTGTCTTCATATTTTGTCTTTCAGTTCTTTGTTACAGTTTATATTCTGATATTCACTTATTTGCACTTCCTGTTATTAATTTCCATTGACTTATAGTGTATCAACTTGAACCGACATACATGCAAATGATTTTCTAAATAATTCCTACCTACCGGTAATTAAAAAGCTTTTTATTTAATTGATTAAAGTTCCATTTCGATTAGCATCTATGTAGTGAAGTTCAAACAAAAACATTTTATCAATCCATAAATTCATTGACTTTTGAAGCAAAGTTGATTGGAAGGTACAAATTCACTTAGTTGGACCTAGCGAGATAATCATGATCAGTGGTTGGAGACGTTAAGTAAAATGACTCAAAATCTGTTGCAGTTATACATGTGAATTCTTTTTATACCTTTCCTCTAGCTCTTCATTTGCAGTGTCATTTCATACTTTTATTACACGAATACAATCCTTTCTAAATTGTATTCTTAATATTTAATTATTTCTACCACCACTAATGTCACTATTATTAAGACTCCCTTACTATACATCAATATCAGGTTCATCTTTCAGTGCCGATATCGCGAAACAACTTGAGCTGTTGTGTGTTTATGCCAGGTCAAATTCGTTAGACTGACTAATGTACTGAAAACTACCCGCTTCATATTTAAAGTATTTGACTTTTGGTCAACAAATTAAGAACTTCATCTAATTCAATTTGAATCAAATAAATACTATCATCAGTCAGTACATTAAAGTGTGGTTCAAAATAGAATACAACAATTTATAACTACTTACTTTGTCGCATTAAACTAGATTTCGCAATTTTCCAAGGAGTTCATTTAGATAAAATGTACAACTTATTTATTTATTAAACTGTCATGACTGTATATTATTATTATTATTACTATTATTATCATCAAATACTTACTTTCGGATTATGCACCAAATGAATTGGAGTATTATGATTTATTAAATCTGGTAGATTGATACAATTAGGACAATAGGTGTAAAGTAGATTAACACATCTGTATTATTCATAACGTAGAAAAAAGAATAAATAGAATAAACATTATTATTATTATGATTGACAATACTATTATTACTAATGAAAACCAGATAGAATACAATTGTCGAGTACAATTAATTTATAATACACGATTACAATATAGAAATTCAAATATATATATAGAAGCGCTGGTGAGGTACAAACTTTTACAATGAAAAGATTTCAAGTGGTGAATTACAACTCTAAAAAAGAAAACCTATCATTCAACTGAACAAATGCACCAAATATTACATGAAATCAGATGAAATTTCTCTCCGACTTTGTATTATCCATGTGTCACTATGAAATCTGATTCCGTTAGTAAAGACGGAAAAAACGAACGGTTTAACGGAATCAGTAGTGAAAATAAATTAGAATAGTATTATTAACAACTAGGTGGAAAGTGACATACATATTTGAATATCACAACGTATCATTTATGATTTCAGTAATTCATTACCAACATCTTTGTCTGAAACTTTAAGAAGCCTTTAAAGACACCAAAAATGTCTTAAAAAGGTGAATTATAAATAGCAAAAAAAAACAGGAAATACAGGTTACAACTTCAAAGTAATTCCATTGAAATAGATCAAAATTTCCTACACCTTCGGTAGCGATCCAACAAAATCCGAATTGTTAGTAGTTGTTAGTTCTTAAACACGTTCAACTAACAATTGATTTCACAAAACTTGAATTTATTCTCAATGGTTCATTCTTATGACCAGTATATATCTCAAAAAAGTGCTCGTTCATATTTCTTCAATGAAATGAGACAATAAAAAAACTTACCATGAGATTGTTCTTCATGGTCTTGGTTATAATTTCTTTGATGAATTAAGATCGTCTCACGACAAACAACAATGAGTGATGAGTTAGACTATGTGTTTCTATACACATGCATGTTTACTTATGAATGACCTAACCCAAGACAGTTAACTACTTGCATACTAACAATTGAATCCAAACAATACTATATGAAATAATTATTTGTGAAATAAGAAGTACATTACATTTTTAATTTTGCCAACTTGTTATTTGTTGAAAACACAGTTATATACAAACTAAACAGAATTTTAATAGAAATGACTATGTAGTAAGCAAGTTAACAAAAGTTTCAGAAACATTTTCCGACCGAACTTTTACAAATAACAAGTGTTCAAACCCCTAACAGTATTGATCTTAAGATATAATAATAATACCACTGATAATACTAATACCAATACTACTACCACTACTACTACTACTACTACTACTACTAATAATAATAATAATAATAATAATAATAATATACAGCATCTACTGGTAATTGGTACAAACAGCAGAAGTAGCATATCATAACCTGATGCATGGGCGAGAATGATTGTGATTGGTTGTTTGTTTAGTCAGCCTAGTAGATAGTCTGACAGGTACTAGATGAGTTATGTATTTTCTTACCCTTATTATTGTTGTGATGGTTGTCAGTTTTGGTGTGGAAATATACTTACGTTCTATTCAGGCTAATCACGTGTTCTTGATATGAGTTGCGTTGATATCCTTTAGAATAGACAATGGAAGGGTATTTAGTGTAGATATTCGTCCAAGGCAAATTAACGTCCCATACGTGTAGACCGGCAAACCGAGCATTACAACAGTGGTGACGGTGCTTAAAACGGATCTACGCCTATATATGCAGTTAAAGCGGATTTTGTAACAATAAAATGGATGATCTGAAATCTTTATTGCAACATCAAAATGCTCCCATCGAATTATTGGTTAAGAATATGTCAGTATCCACAAAAACCCAGGTATCTAATTCCACTATGACTTCGGGTTCTATTGCAAATTCAATAAATGAAATTAGATTTGGTTTAAGCGCCATGAGGATCTGTTTATTAATGATTGTAGAGTGAGACGAAGGTTCGTAACTAAGATTATTACTACGAAATCTCGGAGTTTCTGAACATGAAAAGTTTTACAATTTTATTCTCCTAAAGAAACCAACCGACACAACCTTCAGAGAAACAGTAGAACGCCTGACATACATATTTGGAGAACGATCATCAGTTTTTCACAATAGATACCAGTGTATCCAACTTGTGAAAAAACCATAGGAGGACTTTGTGACGCATGCCAATATCGTGAACCCGGAGTGTGAGAGGTTCCGGCTACGAGAAATGTCTTCAGATCAGTTTAAATGCCTCTCAATGCTTAGCCTTTCTCATTATAACCGCTATTATATTACTTTGATTCCCTCACTACCTATGTTGTTAATTTCGTCTTAGGTCAACGCAATTCTGTTTCAGGCTTTACGTTGACTTTGACTGACGACTGACATATGGAATCTATTCATATTTAAAATTGGCGGAAATCGATACCTAATAAATCATTATTTTGTCTTTAACAATAATTTCGGTAACTTCACAAGTCCATTAATTTAGCAATCATGAGATAATCAAATATTCCCTAGTGTAAAAAAACTCGTGGTGTCAGTAAGCAAGAAAACATACTGAAGTACACACATAGAATGAAACCTTGCACAGTTTTTCCGAGTTTTCTATCTTTTACAGTAAACCTTAAGTTCAAATAAGTAACAATGTACAATGGTTATCCTACTACTAAAACACAGACAACAACAGTAAAACATAATATTTGGACTTTACAAGAAGCTGAAGTAGTGTATAACTTTGTACAGTCATTAATGACAACCTAACAGATTAAAATGGTAAGCTAAAATCAAGTCTAGTGAAATCTAGTGAACAGATGTTTCTCCTAAATATAGTGATATTGCTGTAACTACCCTCGACTAACGTCATTCACAATTATCAACTTGCCCTCCTATATATGTCTAAACATGAAAACAATTAATGCAAATCAGTAAATATATACATATTTGTAGATTGATTTATCAATTGAGTATAATGCATGACGATTTATAATAATACCAAACAACCTGACTCATAGATCCTTACATTGTTCTTTGAAAATATGATTCGATAATTGAAGATTGAATACTTAAACCGCTAAGCTCAAACCTCATGATCTGCATAGATGTAAACAACCATAGACCTCAAATACAAGCCATTTCTTTAGAAATGATGACATACAGAAAGCAATTTCACAGTAAACTTACTCAAGTGAATCATTATTGACAGCAATATGAATAGGAAATGATTCAAATTCACCAATCATAGGATTACCACCAGCTTTAAGCAGTTTTTCAATGCATTCCATAGAATTATTACGACAGGCAATATGTAAAGGAGATTCACCTTTGTTATTCAAAGCATTCACATCTAAGCTTTGAAGATTATCAAGAAGAAGCTGAATATCAACCAACAAGGAAACAAAGAAAAGAAAATAGAGAGAAATGAAGATGAGAAGTATGTATCTACGAAACTGATTCCTTTTAATGTTTCTCTGCCTATTTCTATCTACACTTTTCTCGTCAAACCTCGGTAAATCGATGGTAATTTTGCATTTAAAGATAAATTAGTAATTAAGTTTATGCGTATTTTTGTAAGGATATTTAATTATCTGGTCGTCTGCTTTCAAAAAAATCAATTTTCTCACATTTTTCACATTATTTCATCATATATTTGACAGAATTCAACGAAACAAGCAATCAGAAACAAAGAACGGAACCAGTTGAATATAAATAAAAGTTTCTTCTTTATCAACTAACTGATTTTCGCAATTATACATGTATACAAGACTACAACTTGTCACAGTAAATATTCACCTTTCAGAAGTAACATCCTATGGATATACCTTATATATATATACCCATCTTTACACACAACGCTTAGTAAGCAGAAATAAAGCAGAAACGTGATTCGTGACTTAATAAATACAATCTGGCCACAAACGTTAATATAACTAGTTAAGTAGATTAAGTCACCTATATTTTAATATCACACTGTGGTCATGTAGAAGGTCGAATAAAAACTATCCATAGTATCCTATATCATTTAAATGTTTAAAATGTTTGAGATACATTTGCACTTTTGCTACAAATGCATGCAGAGAACTGCATATGAACAATCTTAATAACATGAATGAGGTTCAAAAGACATGTCATAAGCCAAATCAAGAATGCATGAATTGAACAGTTCCAATAAAAATCACAAATAAAGACGATTTTAGAGTTTTGAATGTCATAATCTTATCATTAATTATTAGAATTCAAATTAAAGCACCGATAATAAAAATTTTCTGATTAGAAAACAATTTAATGATACACTATCATAGGTTATTTTAATCTGTTATACTAACTGTCAAGTTAAAGTAAGGAATTATGGTCATAGTATGATACGTTGATGAGATTCCGGTATCCAGCCAGCATCCTTCTAGTTACTAGGTCTTAAAATCCTGATATTATCCCTCTTCTTTATCAGGAAATACTAAGTGATCAAGCAAGACTAAAATTGACTACAGAATTAGACTGCACTAATATTACATCAAGTTAATAGTAATATCAATAATTGTGAATTGGTTGAAGTAAGACATTAGCACCGTTAGATGCTGAGTCAGTGATCTAGAGGTCAAGCGTTCACGCGAGAGACCGAGGGCCCTGGGTTCGAGTCCCGAGTGCGGGATCGTGGATGCTCACTACTGAGGATTCCGATACTAGGACGAAACAGCCATCCAGTTCCTCCAGGTTTTCGATGGTAGTCTAACATTGATCCATTTATCATATCAATCTAAACTCAACAATCTCCATAACCCTACAGTGATAATAAACTAAAGGATGAAAACCGTTGTCATGAACAAAACAAAGTACATCATAAAAGAGCAGGAACTACACAACAATGAAAGCATATGTCTGATACCAGATAAACATTTGCTCAAATAAGTAAACAAAAAAGATTACAAAGGAAATTGTATTCATTGGTGAAGTTAGTTGAATTAAAAAGTATAAACAGTAGTATGTGAATCTAACATACCTAAATATACAAAATCCAACTGACAACAAAAATAAACAACCCACAAATATTCAAATAGAAACGAAAATGTTATTGGCTGAAACTTATTAAACTGTACAAAAAACTCCAACAACTTGTCAATCAAAGTGAATACTAAATCAGTTTAATAACACGGTTGTATAAAACCAAAAAAACATAAAGAACGTTAGAGAAAACTGTATCTTCGCCACAAATTCGTATTAAAGGACTAAAATCTAGTCAGTGAAAATATTAGAAGTCTGTCTCAGCAAAAACCGAAATCTCTTAAAGTCCAATACGATCATGAGATAGAATCTAAAAAACAGATTGAAATAAGTCTTACAGCCTACGTATTATCCAACAACAAAACTTAAAGCATAAAATGCAACTCAAACTGGAAAGTCATTACTATTAGTTATTGCTAAAACGGTGAAACTTAAGTAATGAACAGTGAAATTTGGTCCTTTTATAATCACCTTATCAGTAAAACACTTAAACTTATACTACAAATCCAAGTGCGTGCGTAAAATATACACAATCTCAATTTCAAACCACTACTCCAACCACCCTATAGTTCACATATATGAAAATATTGTTTTCACAATTATGACTCACTGTGGCATTTAAGTACTGCAAAAAATGAAAATTGCCTAAATAAAATCTTCAATGTCAAGGGTACCTAATTACTCTCACCGAAAACTACTATAAGAAGAAAGAACAACATAAATACAACAAATTACCACATAAGCTTGTTTAACCCTACATACAACAAGAATATCTCAAAAACAACCATTCAATAACTTTGATCTTTTAAAGCAACAGTGGTGTGCAAACAGATAAAATAATTCCAGAATATTTTGTCTAGACTAAAAGATTTAGTCTGAATAGTAGTATGAAGAACTGACAGCAATGATTGTCAACCATATGACAACACAGATTATTAATATTTATCATGATGCTAAAAAGCATAAGTGAAAACAGTGGCACAACAAGAAATATCCTGTGCAAAACGAAATGGCGGCAACAAAGAGAAACTGGAGAGATAACAGAATATTATAACGATGAAAAGCCCATAGTACAGTTAAAACAGAGATACTCGTCACATAATCCACTTCACTTGAGTTTTTCTCAGCGTTCATGAAGAATGTAGAAGTCATGATTATCAATGATTTCAACCCTAAGAGATTTTTCAATAACATCTGAAATGTAAATAGTATATGGATACTAGCCTGCAGTAAGACAACATAATACATCCTCTCGGATACAAATCCACGTCAGCGGTCATGATCTCATTTTTAATTAAGAACAGGTAAAGGACTCTACAGTGTTGAGAAGATTTTTCAGAGTTTGGGGATCGAATAAAATTGCAATTAAAGGACACTTTAAAAGTATAGTCTGGAATTCAACTAAAAAACTTGTTTGTCCCCCAGCTGGCTCAAAACCGACTGAGTAAACCAATAATCAAGAATGACGGCACAAATTCACATTGACTTTTTTCATCAACATGGTTTAATAAAAGTTAAGTTCCTCAAGTATAATTTGACAGAAACTGTCATTCGCCCATGATTTTGTAATTCCCAAAGTAGAAAAACATCTTAGCTGTTCATATTACTTAGGAATACTTCAATTCTTCAATAAACTAACTTTAAAGTTTCCATATTTGATAAAATAGTCATCATCAAATAAAAAAGTTCAGGTAAAACTAAGACGTCTAACCTACAAATTATCCGCATTACTAGTAGTGATTAGCTCATTAAGGAATTAGAATGGATTTTAATTAGATTAATTTATAATTATCATCGGAATAATAAGTGAAGATTAGCTGGACATTGAGATGGTTAATTTTTATTACTTCATCCCGGGATTTTACTAAACTAAGCAACAAATGAATAAATTATTAGTTGTCGCTAAGTTTTTACGTTTCAGACAGACGATGACAAGTTTAATCTCATTTTAAAAAAACGGGTTAGATTTTACACACTATTCAGTCAGTAGCTGAAAGTTCGTGAGCTCGAAAGTTACCAGAGACTAGTTAAACTAGGTGACATTTACTCTTTTTATGAAGATAAACAGTAAATTCAAAGAACATGCCAGAAGGTAACAAGATTCAGTCTTTGGATTTAGTTGTATTATTGAAAACGAAAGTATGAAAAAGCTTATGAATACAACCAATAACAAGGCACATATGGTGAGAGATTGATCAGAATTCGGTGCTAAATATCAACGAAGGAAAATACAAACCTACGAAGAGTATTTTTAAAAATGGTTTCATTTTTAGGATCAAATGTGGTATAGTACCTGTCTTACAGTTACGTCTGCTTACGGTTAATTTTGTCGACGCCTTCTATTAAATTATTTAATAGAAAGTGTTATTCGAACAGTAACAATTTGTCTATTTCTTTGTATTATTTTTATTATCATGTTTATATAATCAGGTATGCTTGATCACACGTGATGGCGTACGCACATACCTCTTTCCTAGTTAGTTAAATATCGCTCAATGAAACATTCGCTTTCCCAAACATATATATGTGTGCGTGAGTCGTATTAACTGATTCGACTCTGTATTCTCTTGGTCGCGTGCATTAGCCCTTCTGCCCAAATTCGCTTGATGTGCTTGTAGCTTTGTTATCTGCGCTATCCAATAATAAACTGTAGTCGGCCCCTTGTGTCACCTTCTGAATTCACACACCGTTGATATTTATTTAATAACGGTTATCAGAGTGATTGATAAATGAAGCCTACAGAACTTTCTCGAAGCCGAGTCACTCTGTAATAACAAAACTATTGCAAATTTTTGTGCAGATAATTCCGCACGGGATACAAAAAAAATACAGTATTTGATGTTCATCATCAATCCAGATTGCTAACTTACTAACAGTATCTAGTGAATTGGTATCCAGACAAGCGAAACGACCAATCAGTCAGGCACGCAGATACACATAAGCCCAAATTGTAACTTCATATCAGCACAGTGAGACGAAATCAACAAGACCAACAACAAAAGAGTATAATAGTAGTAATACCAATGATACTAAGAGATATTAGATATCAGAAATTATGGTTCGAAAAGTGAAAAATTAGAGGAAGATAAAAAAAGTGACCAGGTACTTTTTGGACTACACCTTTCAGACTAGGGACACCTTCGGATGAGTATAGGTAAGGTCTATAGAAGTGACTTAGTAACACATAACTGTTTTCTGTGATAATTAATTATATCTTCTATTTATGACAAATAGTTTAGGGCAACTTAACATGTTATAGACCTAAATATATCTCAGATATTGTCAACTATAGCTAGATATTTGTTCCGAAGAAATGATAATAATATATAAACTTACAGATAAAATTTTCGCCGAAGTATCTCCCAAAACCAAATGGAGAACAGTATTACCATCCTCATCTTTTTCAGTTGCCTTGATATTATCCATAGTTACTAAAGACTGAACTGTCTCTTCATCATTCTCTTTGATTGCGACTCGTAGTGGAGTTAGACCAGAAAGAGGATCATATTCATTTAAAAGACTGAAATGCGAAATTAATTAGCTGAAAAGATTCCATAAACCTACCCGTTTACTGACTCGCTTAAAAAAACCTCACGCCAAGACATTGCTGCAGCTACATGAGCAGCTGACCAGCCACATTGGTTTCGACAGTGTGCAGTTATTTTCTCCAAATATGTGCGATCAATGGATAAGCTCATGTTCATACAGGCTAAATGCAGAGGATCCAAAACTTCTATGTATCTTAAAAATACAGCGACGCCTGCTTCTTGTTCGCCTTGAAATCTAAATAAACTAGACAAATTTAAGAGTGAATAACATTTTTAATAAATGAAAGTAGATAAACACCTGTAAGCATAAACAGTCTCTCCATTGACTGGAATGCCAACTGATCCAGGTAAGTAAACCATATCAAAATGATTTGCCACTTTGTAGAAATAATAAATTGACTTTTGTTGTAGTAATTGTTCACAACTAGGAAAAATTTGTATTTGAATATTTAAAATGAACTCACTTTTCATATTCAGATTCGTATTGGCTTAAAGTGTAAGGTGTTACTTTATTAGGAGAAATAGACGAAACAGCTGTTTTGACAAAATTACTAACATATTTTCCGAAAGAAGTCATAATTTTCGAGTCAGAAGACCAATCATATACAACTTATCTATGACTAGAGTATGGTACAGCTTCTGTTTTCATCAAAAAAATACTGACAACAAAAAACAGGAAAATAGACAAGGATAAGTAAACAACCGAAAAAACAGTTAAACTCAGTGGATGTAATGGAAAATAAGACATAAGTAATGTGTATGTCGTTTTGACAATTATAGTAGGCAGTTATAAGACTTTTACGGAACAAATAACCAAAAATGTGACAAAGAATCAAAAGAATACGACAAATTTATCCAGAAACGAAGGGACAAAACGCGTGTGTTTGTATATTATCAGAATCTTTTAGCAAGCACAAGGATTAATGACACTACATAGTTATATTACAGACACCAAGCACCTAAATACAACATGAGAGGAAATCAATATTTACTTAGGATGAACGATTTTAACACAAACTTATACATTATGAATTTTGTCTATGGACTTTCAATGCATTTTTCACCATAATTGGTTTATTGGGAACTACTATGTTCATAAACTATAGCTATCTTAGTCGATATTCAACTGGTTATCCAAAATGTATTTTAGAATCTACTGTAGCCATCGTTGACGACTTTTTGCTCTAGATAGCGGGGCGAAGTGAATGGGAGTAGTACCGTTCACTGTATTTATTAGTAGGAGTTAAGAAACGTCACACCACCGCACGATATCAGATTGCTAGGACTGATAAATAACCTGAAATTCAAAACTGTATGCTATCTATTAGAATTCAAATACGTGAATGAACCAGATACGGTTACAAAATATCAAGTAAAAATTGTACCAAGATTTGAAATTTTCGGAAGATCATGAAGACGGATGAGGATCAGAGTACATGAGGGAAAATGAATACATTGCTTCACCTACAAACTATGATGTGGCAAAGACAACAACTAATCCATCTTTTTCAAAAATACATTGACAGAAAATGCTTTAAAATAGGTAGCCCGTTTGACTAAAACAGTATGTGTACATAACGAGCTAAACTTGTGTTTTGCACATATATGAATAAAAAAGTGGAGGGTAAGCGAGCAATGAGTTGGAGTACATCCTTAGAAAATTGTTAGTTAAGAAGTAAAAACAGAAATCACAGTACTACGTTAAAGTAACTGGTAATATCGTTTCCGAAAAACGATACTATGAGAACCATGTATCGAGCGACAAAATCATTCGTCCATTTAGAACTCGGTATTACTGTCTTGAAAAGTGATACAAGTAAAGCAGTGCACTTACCACACGTAAACAGATACATGCAGTTACTAGATACGCTTTCAATGTAAAGATTAAAGGCATCAGTTCTCTGTGCCAAGGGTAGTGGAGTGGCGTTTAAATGTTTTATTATTGTAAGGTTGAAGTGTGCAGAGGCATGCAAACTCCCTAATTAAGAAATTACAGTAGATACATAATTATACGGGGTTCTGTTTTATGTACGACCGACTAGGAACGACTTCATGAGTTTGAGGAAAATTTGTTTGATACTTAGGAATGGATTCAGTATTTTCTATACACAAAGGTCATGTCGAATCGCGTACTTGAAATAAAAGACGGGAATAAGGTCTATCAAATCTGGGGAAAAGAGGACTTTCTCGATACCGGATCTAACTACTCATCGCTGAGTGCTATCAGTAGGTAAACCAAGGCTACAGAATCACGTTAACCTCAGCCGATGTTTACTACACTGCTAAGGCTAGCTAACACATGCATGCATAGCAGATGTGTTTTTTACTGTTTTTACAATATACACAACTATTCTAATTGAATACCTGAACGAAAATAAGAAACTATGAAAATTTGTATTCTACTGATCAACAGAATAAGTATTGACTATATTCTTCGGCAGAAAATATTAGCATTAGGGCAAAATTTACCTACGTAGATAAAAGAAGAGTTTTATACACTAAAATCCCCACACACTATACATTAAACGACGACATCTCTTTGATTTAGATATTTCCTTAGGAGAAAAACATGTTCTGACACATTAAAATGGGAAGGCTGGAAATATTTACCTATGAACAAAACACATATTATTTTACTTAAGACAGGATTAGTGTACGCAAATTATCACACTAATATTTAACCCGAGATCAAAACAACCGTTTACACAACAGATATTTACGCAGACCTAATCTAGTTCACAGATGGAAACTAAACGAAAAGAAAGTGACAGAAACTTTTCGTGTGTATTATTGCTCGTACGCTTTCTTTACCAGACTATTAATAACAGACAGAAAACCAATTTACAGGTAATATTTTGAGTGGAGCGCATTGATTAAGACTAAGGTTATTAATGAACCACTGACTTATTACAACAAAGGCATTTCTGAGAAACTCATATGAATAGTTAAAGGTAGGCAACGAAGCGTTTCACGTCTAGACACAGAGGAACATACAAAGTTGAGTGAGTGAGGAGGAGTGTGAAACAGGAGAACAAAAAAAAGGTGAGTCGAAGACCCAGCAAGCGCACATAGCACACTTACACTTACTACGGAAAGCGACAAACAACACTAAAAAACAACACAGTTCTCATATCAAGACAATCTAGAGATCGAAACCAGAAGCCGATAGTTTTTTTAAGTCTTCTTGTGGTGTTTGAATGAACTAATGATACCTTTGTACTTGTTGAATGCTCGATTTCGAATTCCAAATACAATACATCGGTTTGTGCTTGTGTCTTACTTCTTAATTCAATTGCGTTAATTCTGGGATTCCTAGTTCATAATACAATTCAAATTATTCAAAATATTATACTTCTGTAAGATTTGCTCATGTTGATAGTAACAACGATCGTTGTCAGGATGTTAAATAAATTCTTTATACAGAGTACGATATGGAATACAATAGCCGTACTTGCCCAAAGCGATTATTTTCGTATGTAGTAGTATTCGTTCTAATCACACAACCTTCACAGCTGAAAATATGATAACCGGGAAAATGCACATTTAACAGTTAACACGAAGTTAAGGTCAACAGTGGAGTAGGTGGGAAGTATTAATTCGATTCGATCGCACGGCATGGCTCGGCCTCGCAAACGTGGTCATTCTGTGTAACTTGTCTTTATTGACATCAAATATTATCTTATCTTCATCCTAAATGTCTTCTTCACAAGTACTAAGTATCATATTGTTAATTGTTACGACACGATGGGTCAGTGTTGACAATGATGTGACTTCCACGTAGGATCTTGTAGATTGGGTGGTTATATCATGACAAATCTATACTTTTAGGGTTAAGTCTATTTCTTTTAGTAGTACTAATAACGAAGTAGACCATAATTCTACACGTACACTAAACGAAGGACAAAATGACGTGACGTATTTGTTTTATTATTCGGATCCGATTGAGATTTGCATATTAAGATCAGAAGGCCTACGGTGTGTGCTATTCCTTTTATAGTAAGCTTCTGACTATCTAGTTTCCTTTTGAATGAGCCAATTGAAGGGGTGGACATCAATTCTTCAGATAACAGTTTCCAAGTATTGATGATTCGGAGTGAAAGCCTGATCCCACATGCATTTTGTTAGTTCTTGTCTTTTCTGCTCGCTCGGTATGTCCGTCGAGTTGCCCAAATCCGTCGGGAGAAGAAATACAGATATGTCACGTTCAAAATAATTTCTTAATATCCTATATATCACCATCAGATAACTTTAATTTTCAGCAGGACCGAATCAGTGTCTAGCTTCTCATGCCGCTCTTAACTGCGACCGTTTGTTTGGAGCGTGGTCACACTGTTACCTAAAAGTCATTGTGTTACTGAATTGTGGCATACGACACTTCTACCATTCACCTATTATCCGCATTGTGAATGAACATACTTGATCGAGTTGGTGTGTATCCCCCATTTTTTAGAGCCTCTGATCAAAATATCTAAGCTCACCTAAAGTCTATATCCATCTACATATTTTGTTATTTTTCCCAAGTTATTTATTTAATCAGTTAATGGTGGCATCAGAGACTTAACATTACTTGTGCGTTTGTGATGACTTAGGTTTGAAGATTCCACAGGTATTTGGAGTTTGACAACGCTTTAACCAGCAACACCTAATATGAAGCATACCCACCAAGTGAAATCAAAAGACAGAATAGAGAAGGTTCGAAGATATATTTGATAGGCTATCAATATATCGTGGATGGACTGATCTAGACTGGCTAGCGATTGCAGGTGATGTTGAGCACAGAGTTCCCACTCGTGATCTGGTGCGGATGCATGACCGAGCGCCTTCAGCTAGGTGAGTCCATTAGAACATGTGGTCAGCATCCAATTTCGAAGACTTACAGAGCTATTTATTTTGGGGATTCACTTTTAATATTATATATATATTGCCATGGAAAATCGAGATGAAGCAAAATGTTTACTGGTGTCTTACGTACGATAGTCATTTAAATGTTCTGGAAATCTTACTCTTCTTCCAAAACGCGTTGTTTTAAGTTTATCTTCGATAATGACGAAGTATCATCGTGTGTGTTAGTTGTCGGATGAGGTATTGTAAGTGTGTGAGCCGTGTTGTTCGATTGTACCGAAGGAAAATCGACGTAGATAGGATTTCCTTCGAAATACGCTGCTTTGAGGCGATTGATGCTGATGCTGTCGTTGGTTCCGTTCATATCAGTTATATAGTACTTAATTTCTCGTTGAAGAACTTTGAAAGGTCCTTCGTATGCTGATTCGAGGGGTTGTCGATGCGAGTCTCGACGTACGAAGACGTGTGTACTATATCGTAAGTCAGGTTGAACGAAAACATCAGTTGATTCTGGTCGAGTGGAAACAGGTTTAACTGAACGGATTGCGTTTGTAAGCCAGTAAGTGTAGGAGGTTAGATCCATGTTCATTGAAGAGGATGAAGGATCCACGAATTTTCCTGGAAGTCCAAGTGTCGTTCCATAGACGAGTTGAGCCGCAGTGTATCCAATGTCGGCTTTCGCTGCATTGCGAATACCTAGTAAGACGAGTGGAAGAGCGTCGGTCCACTGTGAAACGTTTGCAGCTGATAGCGAAGCTTTTAGTTGTCGGTGAGAAAGTTCTACCGACCCGTTTGCTTGTGGGTGGTGGGCGGTCATTCGGAAGCGAGTGATTCCTAAAAGTGTGGTCAGACGACGGAAAAGTTCGGATTCAAACTGACGTCCGCGGTCTGTAGTGATGGTTGAAGGGCAGCAGAAGTTTGCTACCCATCGTTCGACGAAGGCGCAAGCCACTGTTTCAGCAGTGATGTCGTTGGTAGGTACTGCTTCTGGCCATCGAGTGAAACGGTCTACGCAGGTTAAGAGATAAGAGTATCCATTTGAATCTGATAAAGGTCCTACCAAATCCAAATGAACATGGTCGGAACGAGCATCGGGAGTCTTAAATGAGTCTAAGGGACATTTATTGTGTCTGATAACCTTAGGTTTCTGGCAGCCCACACAAGAGCGTGCCCACTCTCTCACGTCTCTATTCATGCCAGGCCAGCAAAACCGTTCTGCTATAAGCTTGATGGTTGCACGAACACCTGGATGAGAAAATTTGTGCAACGTACTGAAGACGTTGCGTCGATAATGTTTCGGCACGATTGGGTGATCCCTACCTGTAAATGTGTCACACACTAAGGTTTCCCTACCTGTTTCATCTGTTTGATGCGTAGTTTAAGGGTTGTGGACGATAACTCGTGCTGAAGATCAGTTTCTTCTTTTTCAAGCTGGGGGGGTTGAAGAAGGTCGATTCCTGTAAATTGTTCAAGGAATTTATTTGAGACAAGTCGTCTGCAACTAGATTGTTTGCTCCAGAAATGTTTTGGATGTCTGAAGTAAACTGCGAAATGTAGACCAGTTGTCAAGACTCACGAGGTGAGTTCTTTTCAGAGGAAGAACTTAAAGAGAGGGTAAGCGGTTTATGGTCAGTGAAAAGGGTAAATCCATGGCCTTCGATATAGTGTTGAAATGCCGTACAACACAATACATAGCTAGGAGTTCCCTACCGAACGTGCTGTACCTCGATTCGATGTTTAGCAACCGTCTAGAGAAAAATGTCAATGGTTGCCAGGAGTTGTTAACCCATTGTTGTAAGACTCCTCCGATTGCCGAGTCGGATGCGTCTACTGCGATACTAATGGGTACTTCAGTGTCCTGATGAGCAAGCATTGTTGCTTTAGCGATGAGTTCCTTAATTGTGGAGAATGATTTTCGCGCGGTGTCGTCTAGATTGATGGATTTCGTATTTCCACGAAGGTGGTCGGTAAGAGACTTCATGAGTAACGCGCATTTAGGTATGAATTGTCTGTAGAAACTTACAAGGCCGTTAAACGTGCGTAATTGCTTGATGGTGGCCGGTTCTGGTAATCCATGATGGTCGCCACTTTGGTTCTAAGGGGCCGAATTCCTCGAGCATCGATAGTGTGTCCTGGGAAGTCTAACGAGTCGGTTCCGATTTGGCATTTCTGAATGTTTACAGTCATGCCATGTTTTTGTAGTCGTTCGAAAACAGGATCCAGATGCTGGAGATGTGATTCTCTGTTCGGACTTGCGATTAGGCAGTCGTCAACATACGCATGAACGAAGTTGAGACCTCGAAAAACGTCGTCTATGAACCTTTGGAATGTTTGAGCAGCGTTTCTTAGACCGAAAGGCATTCGCAGAAATTTATAGAGTCCAAAGAGACTAACGATAGTTGTTTTCGGTTTATCGTCTGTAGCCATAGGTGTTTGGTTATACGCTTTAACCAAGTCGATTTTCGAAAAGACAGTCGTGAATGTGAGGCAACGGGTAACGATCGCGAATGGTTTTCACATTCAATTGCCGATAGTCATCAGTTGGACGCTAATCATTGCTATCCTTTTTGGGGACATTGTGCAACGGAGATGCCCATGAGCTGCTTGACGGCCGTACGATTCCTAAGTCTATCATTTGGTCGAATTCGCTTTTGGCCAACTTTAGTTTTTCGAGGGCTAGTCGTCGTGCTTTAGAGAATACAAGTGGTCCTGTAGTCGCGATGTGATGTGCAACATTTCTGGCTACACACGGCAATTTCGATTGTGGTTGGTATATCCCAGAATGCTTATTGAGTAATGGTTGATAGAACGGGTTTATCGTGAGCTTAATTGTGACTGGAGATAATCCGCGACCGGAGGAAGAAGTTATGCAAACAGATAAATTAGTGTTTTGTGTCGGTCGGTATTGAGTTAGGAAAATTGCAGGGTTTTCTGCAATTCCTAGAAGACTTTCCATACTGGTTATGATATCAGCACCAGTCGGGGTCATCAGTCTCTCGTGGTCTGGAAACAGATTGCCTACTTGAAGTGCTTCTTTGAGGGTGTGTGACCATTTATGGTCGTTACGAAATTTAAGACAACATGTAAGTGTATGACACAACTCCGTTATGTCATTCTGGGTCGTTTGAGGCTTCACTTTGACTGAAAAACTTCGGCATTAGAAGATTTCGTGGTTTCTTAGATGTGGTCGGTAGATGCAGCCAGTCGTCTAAGGCGTTGTTTTGAAATGAGACCCGCACAGCTTGCACCTGTTGAGGAAGCTTGGATAAGAAAAGTTGTTTGAATAGGCCACCATCGAATGTTCTTTGGCTGATAACCTCTCTCATTCTTTGCGACATGTCTGTCTCAGAACCATGATGCAGGTCGATGTTATTAAGGAGCTGGTCTAACCTTTGTCCATCGGTTAGGTCTCCGCGTTTAAGGATAGATCGTTTCAGTGTTTCGTAGGGTTCAGAAACGTCACTAGCAACCAAACTAGGTGTTACGTACCTGTTGAATTCCCGCGGTAGCGCCTTGACTACTTCGAGGAATTGTGTGCGTGTGTCGTTCACGCCGTGCTCGTGGAAGTCGGCTTCTGCGCAGCAAAACCAGGCCTCGATGTTGTCTGGCCAGAAGGGCATCAGTTGAAACGAAGGTGGGTCTTTAGCTTAAGTACTTTGGTTGTATATTCAGTCATAATGAAATATCAAGTACGAGGATGAACGAGTAAAAAAATATATATCCAAAACACGGAAAAAAAGTATCACAATGAACAGAAGATTAAAATAAGGCAATGATATATAAAATCCCAGAAAGGAACAGATACAGTTTGCATTTTGGTATACCAAATCACGTTAGGCACACCAATGAAGATGCCACAGGTATTTGGAGTTTGACAACGCTTTAACCAGCAACACCTAATATGAAGCATACCACCAAGTGAAATCAAAAGACAGAATAGAGAAGGTTCGAAGATATATTTGATAGGCTATCAATATATCGTGGATGGACTGATCTAGACTGGCTAGCGATTGCAGGTGATGTTGAGCACAGAGTTCCCACTCGTGATCTGGTGCGGATGCATGACCGAGCGCCTTCAGCTAGGTGAGTCCACTAGAACATGTGGTCAGCATCCAATTTCGAAGACTTACAAAGCTATTTATTTTGGGGATTTATTACCTCTGCAATCGTTTCCACTTATTCATTTTTCCAAGAAGTTGAAATAGCGATAAGTAAACTCAAAGACCTTTATGGCCATCAACCAATTAAAACGTAAACAATTTGGAGGGTAAAGAATAATTACCTAAAGAAAAGTACAGTGTATTGAGGTCTGTCTTGTTTAAGTATATCGAATCGACGCAATAATCCGTTGCATGTATACAGTAGCGGCATAAAGTATTTGTTTTATTATTTTGTTTGTTCTATGGTTTATATTTTGTCTAAGCTGCTATGGTGTTTTTCACATATAGTTCAAACTTCTTTCCAGCATATCACCGTATTTATATCTCTAGTACTAGTGGCCGAAAATAACAATTCAGCCCTTGATCAGGTGTTGAAAAGTAAACATTTCTGTGTGCATTTGGACGAAAAGTAGACAATTCAGCAACATTTGAAACAGCGACATGAACTTAAAAAACAGATCTTTTTGGCATGTTTCCCCATTATTTCCTTTTGTTCGCCTTTATTTCCCCTTTATTGTTTGGTTGTAGATAATCACTTCCTGCATCATGTACAGAAAAATCCGCCTATAATTAAAGATTGTGCCACAAAAGTGCGGAACTACGCAATAAAGTGATCGTGTCATCTAAAGAAGTATAGGGAAAGTCCACAGAAGTTATAATTCTTTTGGTACTTTAAATTGAGATCATGGAAAGTAAATATTTATTTTATCATATATCATATGGTATACTTCAGTAAGAACAAAGCTGAGTAAGTCCCGCAACGGAGAAAAATGATCTGCGTAACTTGTCCAAAATTACGGGTAGTGATCAATTTCTATATATTATTAGTGTTACTGTTGTGTAGATTTTCTTAACGCTTAACTCTTCCCCACGATACTACTGGTGTAAGGTAGATTAAACAAACATCTGTTTTCGGCCCTACATCTAAACTAATTGGGTTCGTCGACCGCCTCATTTATTTTCTCAAGTCTCATCAGGTCTCCTGTGTTAGTGTCTGATAAAATTCCAACGCGGATTCCGAAAGCTTTAATGACCTTCATCAGCTTCCGTTATTTTTGGTGCAAACGAATTGTCTGTCTTGACTAAAGTATGAATATACTGCCCAGTAGTTTCCTGTGTTCTGCTTTATGACTAAAACTTGGCCTTTCAAAACAGGACATTCAAAGAGTAAATACAGTGTAAATGTAAAAGTTGAGGACTGAAAGTTGTTTTACAAGTTGTTTTTTAGTCGAGACAGAATGTAGGTGGCTTAATTGTAAAGGTTATTTAAAATGACCATACTTGATAAGTGGGATATTGTTAATCAACATACTTGTCATATAGCATGTAGTATATACTTTGTAAAACATACACGTCATTGAGCAACTTGACATCTACACAACATTTTTGTCTTATTTATTTAGTTTTTAAATGACAATTATGATCAGACGAAATAATCTTGGTCTCTTCCTTTCGAAGAGTTATTTCAATTTCGAAGTATCACTTCTCCAAAAAACTGTTGTTGTTATACATGGCGATGACTTTATTCATTTTATATTGAATAACGTAATTGGTTTTAAAGATAATAATCATAATGAGTTCCTTCTTTTCTCAATGACGGCTTCTAAGTTGATAAGCCAAGTACAAATGTGTGACATTCAACCACTCTTCATTTTTGATGGTTGCACTAAAGTTGGAGTAAGTTTTATTTTCAAATATATTACCTCTTCAAGCGAAACTTTTGTTGCAAATATTTACGTATCACTCTCTGTATTATCTTTATTTGGACTAGTCCGCTAACCCCTGTCAGCCCATCATTTAGAACAGCTACATGATGCTAATTTATTTATAACTTCAATCTCAAAGTCTTCACTCTTTCAAGACTACAGCTCTCAAACATTCTCTTTTTCAATCAACGGTTTGGAAGCTTTCTGCTTACTGTCTTCCGGCTATATAAATTTATCCACCGACATCTTGCTCACGTAAAAGAAAACTCAATAGGTACAGGTAAACATTCAGAACTGTCATTAGAGGTTGGCCTACTCCACTTTTTAAGCGAACGACTCTGTCCCTTAATCTGAGATCAAGCAATGTAAACTTGTTACGTATTCATAATGACCGTCAGTATATCCAAACTTCACTTGACCCCTTAATCGTTAGGCTAAATATGTTGAAAAACGTATGTTATTTTCGATTCATTTTAAGAATCCATTAGATCTCAGTACGAAGTTATCTCGACTGAAATCAGAAGCTTTGTTCGTAAAGGTGGAACCTTGGAAAGAAATGAAAAACATTCTCAACTTGGTGTGATGATATTTACTTACATGCTGATACTACCATATACAGTCAACGTTCTGACTTGAGATGTACCAAAATATACAAGTTCAAAGTGTCACATTTTAAAACAGCAAAATATTCGGATGAACAACTAGAATGTGGTTCGGAAAACCATACAGACAGTGAGCCATGAGTTAGAATATTATCAAGTGTAAAAGTTGTTCCCACGTTGTGGCATATTTTAGGTCGCAAGTCCCATCAAAGTAAACTTTGTAGTTTACGCTTCTTCATATTCACGTTTCCTCTGTTATTTATTACATACCAACTAGCCCCATAATGTTTATTTTACCTGTGTGTGATTCATTCATTCAGAAACAACGTAGAACTTCGTACGTACGTGCATCAGTTCGAGTTACCATACCACATCACAACAGAGATACAATTGTCGATTCAAATCCCATAGTGGTAGAGGTAGTAAAAGTGTAAGCAGTATTAGGGAAGATTAGGGTTTGAAGATGTTATTCAAGTAGTATAATCCAGTGAAATAAATCTGGAAAGAGGAGAAAAGGAACATGAAGAATTCAGAAGAACACAAAGAGTAGATGCACCCGCACCATTGCAAATGACTTTGAGCCATGTCACTCAAGGTCTTACCGTCGGTTGCTATCATCTCACGGTCCCCAACCAGGTAGTCTTCACCTAGCAACGTGACCAGTCCACTTGTCAGTGACTTCATGGATTTTTTCCATGTTTTGGTCTGGCCGCCCGTAGCTTTCTCCCAGCATGCACCTACACCTTTGTGTAATTAATATATTTCCACCTCCATACTAAGGAAAACAATTAAGGTGAATCCAAGACCATAGCTTTGGTGGTAAGAAAACTTATTTCTTCTGAAATCTTTCGACTTAGCTTCAGATGAGCAGATAACTTTGTATTTTTTTGAGTCGAGTCAATTTACAGAGGTAAAACTGTTTAGTTAATGAATGTTGATTTTAAGAACCCTAAGCGTACATCGTGTTTGTCAAATTCCTCATTGTTATGTCTGAGTCACTGACCAGTCGATATGAGTTCTGTGTCCATGACATTTACTCGACTGCTTGGTTCGTTTTACTCAGTTTTAGTTGGAAATCGCATTGGTTTCCTTCGTTAGTCAGTTTTAGATTCCTCAATATTTGACACGATTCAAACCATGAATAAGTGCTTGTAAACTGAATCCCCAGACCTCTGCTTCATATTTGGATAACTGTACAAATTAAACACTAATGCTGTATCGCCTTTGCCATCAAATGCCCTGGTACGGCCGAGAGTGGGGAGAGTCCGCTCTCCCTCTCAAAATCCTCTCACATGGCCACTCGTATATAGCCTCTGCCAGGGAAGTCCTACTCACTGCCTTCTCGTGGCGGGGGTGTTTACGAAACAGGACGAAAAGCAAATGTCCGGCGGTTTAACAGGATTCCAAACCAATGGTGCACATGGCTCCAGTATCCTGCGGGAACAAATGGCGTATGAACCAATTGTTGGTCACCGGCTACCGTGGGACTGCATCTCTTTACGATGCTCCACTGCCTTGTGGATTAGACCTTCAGGTCGAAGGCTCAGGGAGTGGCCTTCTAAGAAAACCACCTGCTTCGGTTTGGGCACCCGGCAGTATCACGGCCCTCACACATCAAATGAGATTTGTGTGACGCATATGTATTTGGTGCCTCCTTGTATCAATATCTATGTGTTAAGATAATAATAACACTATATTTGTATAACAAACACTAAATACAGTAATGTGTTGTTGTTGTTGTTGTATCGCCTTTGCCATTTTTCACCTAAGTATTTTGACTTAGGTTTTCTTTGTCTCCCAACTTGTCTATTCGCTAACCAGTCAGTACTCCTGTTTTACTTCCTTCTCATCTTTTCCTTTTTCAGCAAAACCAATCACGCTACAATGATCAGATGTGGTCCATAATCAATCGTTACAAATCATCATTTGTGGATGTGTTGTCGTTCTTTCAAATAAAATACATGACATCACTGTATTCAGCTCAGTCTGATGCTGCTTCATTATCCATATATTTACATTGTCCGTTTATAGCATCCAGTTATGATATTTACTACATGTTTCCTACTCAAGCTACTAAAACTGAAGCAAATATTATGCAAGAATTAATCTACGTCCCGATCCATCTCCTAGATTTTTTTAGCTGCAAAGATGATGCTATTATTTTGTCTCATGTTTTCCACCAAAAGTTTTCTCGTATTTCGTCAGTTGTACCCCATTTACGACCTTTATTAAGTGTACTGTATGCTGGGCGATTCGAGGTACGTGCTAATGTGTGTAAGCAGTTAAATTATTGTACGACAGATTACTCCAACTACCCTAGTCCTCGTTTACATGAATGGTTTGTTCTAGTTAACTGGTTGGTAAAATCATCCAATGTAAATTATGTTACACTTTATGAGTATGTTATTCAAGCACATCGTGCTGAAGAACGACAAAGTGTGACTGAGTATCTTCTGGATTGTATTGCGGCTTTTATGGATAATGTTCTAGAAAGTGGACTTGAAATAGCATCTCACTTTTGTTTAGTAAACTCCAGTTCCAATGTACCTAAGGGGGGTAGGCTGATTGAGATTAGTGAAGAAACTAATGCTTCAGTAAACTTACAACATATGGATCGTCTGACCAATCAACTCAACGCCAAACAGCCAATAAGTTCAATTTTACTCATGATTGGCCTCGTAATTTGACAGAACTGTATCGAAAGGTTAAACTTTCTCCAGCTATTATTGATGTTTTACACCACTCCATTAGAAAACCGTTTCTGTCAGTTCATGCTTACTCCGTCAATTTACGCCTACTTGTTTACCGAATTCTTTACGGAGTAGAGCATTGTGCGGGTGTAAAACTAAACCCAAATATAACTGAGTACACATGGGTCGGTGATGATATGTTAACCGAGCTCCCTCTCACAATTAGTCCTCTTCTTATGAATTCAAATAAAAGTAATTCAGTGGATGAAATAGTAAGCAGTCAGTTGAATATCCCTCTTCCGCAACACACACCCCAACCTGATTGGATTTTTACTTTGGCTGTAACTTTAGCATTTTGGCATCAACAACATATCAATAATACTGACGAAGGCCATGAACGTCATTTCGAAAATTCCCCAATTGGTTTAGCTATTGCAACTTGTGTTGTAGTCAATGTTTTCAATATTGATTTCATGAGTAGCAATCTACATGAACATTACACACGGTGGATTGACTTCATCAGAAACGAAATATCACTTGCTTCTGAACGTGCTTCGTCACTAAATCAGTCTCCATCATCTTGTACGAAATCTGTCACGGAACAAAACTTATCAAACCTAATTGCTGTTCAACATATCTACAACGAATTGCAAACCGTTGTCTCATTACTAAACTGTTTAGCAGGGGATGAGAATAAGTCTAAATTATTTAATTTTCTGCCTTGTTGGGTTTTGTTTCCTTCTTTTCATCTAGTAGATTGTCTTTCTCATCATTTAGACAATCAGTTGCCCTCTATTCGATTAATTCATGTAACAAGTTACTGGATACCTCGATTATATTGTGCTAAAAGATCTAACAATCTGATAACTGATCTTATCAACATTTTTAAACGCTTGGTTAATACTGTTACACTGCTTTCTGCATCATCTTTATTTAATCTGAAACCTAGTAGTATGACTAGGAGAAGTGAACAACGTGCTCCTTTATCAGAATTCACTAACACCATTCCGGTCAATAATGTTAACTGTAATGATTCGATGTTTCACAACATTAAACTGACTTCAGTATTATCTGATGGTAAAATTAGCAGTGTACTTGGCAAACATCTGGATAAACAAGTGATTGACAGGTTTCTCTGTGATTTGACTGAGAAACAAAATGTTGCGTGATTGTTTCTTTTAACGTGTTTTTATTTTCCTATTTTGACTACTTCATTCACTTTCCATCTTGCATAACCTACTTGCAAATTATTAGTGCTTGTGAATATTTACTGAAAAATTACATCATTATGTTTACGATTGATGTATCCATTACATATAAATTTTCCCACTTATCAGTGAATTTATTAAAGATTAGTGTTACTACGTTAAGGTTGTAAGTAGCTGACGAGAAACCGTGAAATATGATGAATTCATGTTATTCTGCTACATTGATTGTTCTTGCTTTAGTCATATAATGTAACAATCACAAACTATGATTATCAGCGAAGTCGTTTTGTACAAACGTTTACATTTGATTCTTAATTTCTCCAAATATTAGTTTTCTTATTGTTACTTATTTGGCAAAATGAAACTAATTTTGTATTTTCTTCCCATAATTTTAAATAACTCGAAATATCACTAGTTTTTCTGAGATTATTTTGTTAGCGGGATATAGATTGAACTAAGACATATTTTGTGCAGGATTGTATTAGGGCACGCTGATTGGCTATTTCCTAACCCATCGGCACCACTGGATACTTGGAGAGCGCTCTAGAATCTTCTCATGTAAAAACTATAAATGTACTGACGTTTGTCTTATCATGATTCCTACTTCCATCCAAACCTTGGAATCCACTGCTCGTGTTCACACGCTCTTTCAAGTACTTCATGTAATGCAGTTGCCAGCAGCATCCCAGGATTCAACTATAACCCCGAGAGTGGAAACACCTTTTTCATGGGGTTCAATCGTTAGGAAGATACATTCAGAATCCTGATACGAAATGCTTGACATTTATATGTGTAAACAGACTATTTGAAATATATAGCGCAAATACATCACAATTTTCAGATCAGCTACGTCTTCTTATTGCTTTATCGAAACTTATAAAAGGAAATAATTGCTTCGAAGAAACCATGGATCTTCGATATAGATAATTTCAAATATATCCATCAGGAAGCATCAGTCCTCTCAGGTTTACAGGTGCACCTTAAAGACGAGTGCCAAATAGCACGAAATCTAGGTCATGGGTTTCCTGTCGACTACCACCCTCACCTTAACATATTACACGCGACGTTAAGTCACCTAGACTAGTACCCATATTGCAACGTGGTCGGTAGGATTCGATCTGCACTGAAGAGTTCATAACATCGGTCACTACTTAGTAATCAATCAATTACAATCTAAATGTATTTTGACCAATGCGGGGAGAAAAATTAAATTGTGTTATATCACTGAGTGTAGATCAAAATATACTGTTAAGCTTGAAATACTGTGACTTTATGGCATGAAAATTTTGGTGTTATTTACTGCTAAAATGGGAACTAAGATTTCAGCAAAGTTTTATTATGATATACATGTAGAACATTTGGCTAGAATGTACTCATGTGACAGTCCAGTGTATCATTATAAGCGTACCCTTTACTTTGCACCTACGCATACGAATAATAATAATTCCTTGTTCATATACCATTATTGTATCCTGTTTGTGGAATATAATTATACCATTGTGTATTTCCCTAATTACTCCGTTCAATTTTGTATTACATTACATCTTGTTCCATTTGGATATATGTACTTACTAAGCATCAGTTTATCTACCAGTAATTCCGTTATATTCTAGTGCATGCTACTTATGCTGACAGATATAAGTAGTATGTAGCAGTAACAGGAGATGTGATTTACTGAAACAAGAAGTGAAATAGGTAGCAAATGAAGTAACAACAGAATTGAAAGAACCCTAAAGCTTGTAAAGAACAACCGAAGGAACATGTGTGAATAATGCATTTAATGTATGATTTTCATACATTATAAAGGCACTCTGTAATTTCGCGTTAAATAATAAATTGGTTTTTTCACCAAGTCTTTGCTCACTACAACATTACCCCTTATTTCGTCCGTATTCATGAATTATGCATTCCTTGGTTGTATTATCCTATCTGATTGATTAATGCACAATTATTTCTCTCATCCTACTTTATCTAGTTTTATTCTAAGTTCTCTCTCACTATGTCAACTGACATTAAAAATTAATCCAAGTATACATTACTCACTAGTCATTTATTCAAACGTGTATAATCCTAATAATAGATATATTTTTGTTATATCCCAATGAGCAGAAAAATTGTAAAATGAAAGCCAAGTATGTTTGTCTGGAAAAACAGCCCAGGTTAGATGAACATTCAGTCCTTCTTTCCTGTTGAGGGCACGCTTTGGCTACTTGCCTCTCTGTTGCAGTTGGAAAAGCCATTCTGAGTTATTTTGATATGTTTGATATCAACTTGGTGATTATTGAAAATAACGCATTGCTATTGTTGATTTGTAAATTTTCCAATTCTACGTGATTATTAGGTCTTTTTGTATAACTTAAATTTTCCTTGGCACGAGCTGAGATCTCACGGATAGTCTCCAATATAGAACGTATCACAATCGACACAGCATAATCTATAGACACAATTTTGAGTGTAAATGAGTGGGGTTTTATCTTTAATTCTAACTAAAGCGTTTCTTAGGGTGTTAGTTGTCTCATAGAAAGCTTTAATTTTGTGAGTTTTTAATATCCGTTGTAATTTCTCTGTTGTACTTTGGCGGTAAGGTAAAACCATATTACCAATCCAAGAGATTTCATTAGGATTGTTATTTACCGAAGGACAGTTTTGTTTTAATGTTTTTAATAATATTTTTGGGATAATTGTTAGAACGTAGGATGTTTGCTATATTCACTTTTTCTTTCAGCTTGTCTTCTGAGGTAATTATTTTGGGTTGCTCTTCTGAAGAGATTCAGGGTTAAGGAAGTTTTCGCACAGAATGGATGTGTGGAGTTAAAATCAATATACCGACTCGAATGTGTCGGTTTTCGACATATGGCTAGGTTTAGACTTTCGTTCGAATTCCTTTTAACTAAACACTATGAATGGTAGTCCATTATGTTCATCTTCCTTTTCGAAAGTTAGTATGATGTGCTTGGAGAAATTCCTAAGAGTTTTTAGTCATGATAAGTATGTCATCCACATGTCTGAGCCAGATGCGTGATCTGATGATGCTGGCAAAAATAATCGTCTCACTGTGGAACATAAATAGGTTTGCAACAGTCGGAGGTACTGGAGATTCAATGACTAATCCATTCGTTTGTTTATATAAAGTCCATTTGAAAGTGAAGAGCTGGGTTTAGGCATAGTTTGAGGGACTTTATGATAGAACTAATGCTTATCGGGCATCTACTGGATAGAGTATGATCGTTCTCTAGTAAACGATTAATGAAGTCTAGACATCTTATCAATTGCGATACTAGTGTATAGAGATACAACATCAAAGCTCACCATTGTTTCGTATTTGTTGATAAATAATTGCGAGGTTTTTTATTTGGATTCGTAAGAGTCCTTTACGAGTGACTAGGTTATGTTGAAGGGGATTCAGTAAGCTGCTTAAATATTTAAATAAAGCATATGTAGGAGTGTTTGTGAAGTCCACTATTGGCCTTAAAAGAATGTCAAGTCTGCGGATTTTCGATAGCCTATAGAAATGGTATGTGGTGTTAGATTTAATGTATAAAGTAAACCATAGGGAAACGCCAATAAATAGCTTTAGTTCTTTCAGAAGTTCACTTGTCTCTGCGTTATAACTTGCCGTTTGAATGCTTATTATCTTGGCCTTTTTAATACTACTTTTTATATCTGGTCGTCGCTGATTGTTATACCGGAAACGCTTATCACTTATACTCGGAACGAGGGACCTCTGCAATTCCCACGACGCGAAAGTAAGGACACAAAGACTGGTATACGTGATGATTTATTAACCCGAAACACTATAACGACGACGACGATTCTAGTAGAAAATACACTCATTTATATATTGATTGTACACCCATTTTGACTAATAATTAGGATGAAATCACATATATGAAAAATACTTAGAGTTATAACAAATCACATCGCATAGTTCATGTCAATGGAATGCAAGAATATCGTATATTATACAGAATAAAATATCATACGAGAAAAGAAAACAAATACTACATTGAGTAATCATTACATTGAATCAAAACGGAAGTAATCTTGAAGTAAACTCAATGAGTAAATCAATCGAAAATTGACTTTTCTTTCCATCATATCAATCTGATTTATCTTTATTTTTAGCCACTTGAACATTTTTAAAGTCTATTTTCAAATATGGTCCTATCGATAAATGATTAAGAGCTTTTTCTTCATAATCTCTTTTGTTTATGACAACTGTCGTATTACCTTTGTCATCCTTGGTAATGACAATCGTTTTATCATCTTGAAGTGAGCGCAAAACTTTCCATTCTTCTTTGGAAACACTAGGTGGAATGGATATTTGTTTAGTCATTATGTGGGTTTTTTTGACGTAAGATATGCGATTGCTTACCTGGAATGTTTTCGAGTACGAGTTCTAGAATCGGAGCGGTTTCTAGAGTACTTGACTTTAATTTACATCGAAAACGGGATATGTGCTTCGTTATCATCGTTATACAACAATCAGAATGGAGTCAGACGACGATCCTGTAGATTCATGAAAGACGTAAGAACAAAGTAAAGATCACCATCTGGTGATGGGCAAGCTGAAACTGAAGCTAAAGAAGCATTGGACAGACAGCATTATGAGAGTTTACTACAGCGTTCCGTCGGGATATTAACAAACTCAACGAATTCAAGATTGCTATCAGCAGCAGATTCCAAACCTTACTGAATTCGGTGAAATAGGAGGAAACTACCATAGAGAACAAATCGAAAGGAAATAAAGAAACATTAATTTCAACATGGGTCGTAAGAAGCATCATCATGAAGAATAGATCTCTGTCGAAACCCTGATAAGATTTGAGAGAGGAAGAAGAAGACAGTAATTAAAAACACTCGTCAAGAACAGAAAAAGCCACGGCACAGACCGAATACACAGAAGGCAAGCCAATCGCTGAGATTCAAGAACAGATGGGCAGAACACTTTGGAA